GTATTGCATTTAGCTGTCACTGATTCCTTACTTATTGGCGGATCCAGAACTTTTTATAAGGGGGGGGCCCACTGACCGTCCTAAGAAGGGGGCCGCTCCAGTCATGGCTAAATGATTCCCTATATAACCAACCATTTTTTACCACATAAAAGGGGAGCAGGGCTCCAGGCCCCCCTGGATTCGTCTTTGTTTCTGCCGCAGTCTCCTCCCATAACAAAATGTTGACTTCGTAGAATGTAGCCATAAGAATAATACAAATAATACTTACAGATCTTCTTATATTTTCCTGTTCAGCTTTCTCCGCATGTCTTATTTTCTTCATTGGAATGTTGTTTTCTGAAGAAAAAATATCATGGTTTAGTTACAAGTTTATGGTTATGAGACAACTCCAAATATTTTTCAAGTTAGTTGTCACGTGATATAATTTGTAAACCTGAAAAAAGAACACCTCAGCTCAACATTTAAGAATAATGCATTTAAATATTTACTACTAAGAAAGTATGAGAAATACCTTAATAAAATGATGGTTTATTCAAGTCATAATTTTTAACACAAGTATACATGTAGAATCGCACGAAAGTGTTACATGTACTTGCAAAATCCAAAGATATTAACCATGTCAAGACAACCAGTCTTGCTTTCGGTGGTATTCCTATCAACTCGGCAAAATACATTTTATTTACCGACATTAAAAACTTTTAAATAACTGGAACGTTAAAATCATCTTTTTATTCGCTCAATAGTTACTGTAGATTTTTCTGCTGTGTCTGCAATTTTAACATATTGTATGCTATTCAAGAGATGTGAGCTCATATTACCGGTGAAGCCTAAATAACAATTATATATAAAAGTATACTTTAATGGAGAATTATGGCTTATTATCCCTTTAAATATATAATAATAAAGATATAGATATATATGCTTACCTTTACATTCATTCAAAGCTGAATTCCACTTTTCGTCCTTAGCCACATTTTCAAATGGTACAGGAATCTGAAAGAGTTGACACAGTTTAGTAAGAAGTAGTTAACCTCGAAGATAAGAAAATGTATCATCAGTACACCGGTAATAGTTTCCATCTTCAGTAAACCGTGTACATAGGACCAAAGCCCTATTTCGGCATGCACATAATAGTCATTAGGAAGACCATGTTATAAGGTACATGTGTATGAAGTGTCAAGCTTATGTGACTCAGACTTAACAATAAATTACTTTCATCATTTTTTTAATTGATTTGGGAGGGAGGGACGGACTGGTAGACACATTGACCGAGCATGATAATTCCACTCTAATATTGTAAGCTGGACATAATTATTTATTGGCTTTATCCGAATTTTTTAAATTCATGTTTGAGGTATAGTTGAAGAAATCTATCCTTCAATACTGGGAAAAAATAACAAAGATTGTCAAAAAATTGTTTTGATTGTATATATACTAATAGTATTATACATTCAACCTTTAACTGTTATTTAAATATACTTCTTATATATCCAATCTTACTGATTATATTGTTTACTGATTGTAAATGTGTTAGTTTAGTGAATATTCATTCTTTTGCATAATTTTTTTTTATAACATCAATCATTTAGTCAAAAAATCATAATTGTTCAACTCTTTACCTGGTGCAATACTCTTTTTCTTGTTTGCAGGTTACTGTCATCCCTGGCATCTTGGTTAGAAGCAAAAATTGTTGGTACTGCGTCTGACTTTAGTCTTGGGCGTCTATTTGTAAAGCCAAGAAGCCTGCCCTGAAATATAATGATTTATTGTAAATTCACATTTTTTCTCCTAACTTTGTTATACCGTTTTTATTTTACCACATAAGGCTTCGATAATTGTGGAGTAAAACAGGTGGCAAATTGCTATGTGAGAGATTATAAAGATGCAAATTATTGTTTAATAGAAACCAATTTTCGAAACTGACACTTGGAAATATTCTACGAAATTTCCATTCCCGTTCTAATCTTTCATACGAAAAAAAGGGTAAACAAATTTACTAATATACCTTACACATCAATTTTCTTAAAATCTTGTAAACAACATGTTTCCGAAAAAATTTAATCTTTTGAATATATCAGGAACATATATATACTGTTCCCAGAACACATTTAGCTTTTTCAAATTGACACAGGGATCCATTTGCAATCACATAATACATATATTAACAATTTCGTTCCAATCCTATCACAGATTAAGCATACTTCTAATATTTAAAAAAAGAAACAATATTATGCACATCATATATTTCAAGTATCAGAAGTGTGTAAAACAAGCTGATTTGAAAAAAAATGAATGATCGCGCGGCAAAGCAAAACCCGTTTTAAATGAAATGTATTTCTTTGGAGAACACCCCACCCCCACCCCCCAAAAAAAATAAATGAATAAAAAAACTATCGTTCACTACCTACATGTACGTATGCATATTTTTTGGGCATGGTCATTCAAAGGAAATCTGCAAACATTTTTACGTCACCTAGGACCACTGAATGCTCTGAAGACCTTGATTGACTTGCTAGTCATTTTGTGCAATTCATAGTTGCTCTCTATATTTGTTATAGTTTCTAGAGGTACGCAAAAATGGATAACAAACATTAGTTTTCCTAGATATGACAATATTTCTTATAAAAAATAAATTTTTAACTTTTCAACTAAAGTTTTATGACAATTTGACAATTTTTATTGCAAAAGGTATACTATATGTGACTTTTTATCCGTGACCTCTTTTTCTGCATTTGTTACTTGCAAAGCAAAATTTGTCTTCATACATCAATGCTTTTATATTTTCCGCTGATCAGAAAAAAAAACAAATTATGGCATAAATAAATTTCATGTAAAATTCTAACAGTGCTTACAACAAACTATCAAAGTAGCTTCGAGGTTCCTAGAAATATTTTTCCCTTTTGTACAATTTTTTTCAATTTTAAATTTTCATTCAACCATTTATTAATCCTTATAAAGATAGGGACATTAGACATAGAATCTTCAATAAAGTAATCTTGATAGTGAAGATAAGCAGATAAGTGCTGCATTACTTTATATCTACATGTTTGCCAATCGACAAAAGCGCCGTATTTGCGTCAATAAAAGTTCGTTTTTTTTTTCCAAAAAAAGAGTCCACAATTATGCAAAAACAGTATTTCTTATACAAAAATTTCCAAAGGTCATGTTTATAAATGATTTTTTTTAACTTATTTTCAGCAAAAACTAGTGGATAATAAATATCAGAATATCATTCATTAACAGGTGGAATTATAATTTCAAACACGCACAAGATCAACAACGTTCATTATGTTTTTTCAGACTAAGTTGTACACAGGATGTATATTACAGCTGATAGTTTTATGGTACAATAAATGTTACCTGTGCACACCTGGTACTCAATAAAGAGGCCATGCATGGACCTGTATTATATAATTGTGTATTACGAATTTTTAGTCGACAGGATGTCACCGGAATACCTAACGAAATCTGTCGCTCTGACACGACCTCCATCAATAATTTATCCAGTCTGACATGCCTATAATCAATTCGAGAGGAAGCCGAAACATTTATTTAGAAGATGTCGTAAATAGAAAAAAAAACTATCAATTTTACAACGAACATACTAGGGTCACACGTTAATCTGTAAAAGCATCATTATAAGTGACCGATCTAAATTGATCCCGTATCAATTTAATATTACGTAAAGCTTACATGTAGTTAAAAAAAAGCAAATTAATAAAACACACCATATATGAAAAAAAAATGAGATGTCCGATATTCCGATATTTACATATCAATAACTTGGGAATATTATACTATATCAACATATTAATTTATGTCCCAACTAAAACATTGCTCCGTGTCAATTTTAGAGTAAAAAAAAAATATCGTTGAACTTGATTTATTCAACAATTATCATGTCTTCATGTCTTAATACAGAACTATTCTTTATATATACCAATGCACTTTATATAAAAGAGACTTACAAATGAATCTTCCGTAATCCAGTGACTGTTACAAGAACACTGAATTTGCTCTTTTATAATTGAAATGTCGATAGCTGTTGAATATCATAATAACAAATGTTATTTATCGTATAACATTATTAATTCAAAAAATTATTTTGTCTAAATACGGAACTATCCTTTATATAAACCAATGCACTTTATAAAAAAGAGACATACTAATGAATCTTTTGTGAGTCAGTGACCGTTACAAAAACACTGAAAATGCCTTACTTATAATCGAACCTTTATTTCCTCATCAACTTTATTATTTTTCAATCAACGTGATCTCATCATTTAAGGATTTGACAATATTATAGCTATATATAACTGCTAGGTTATTTTGTTATTAAAATAGTATAATTACCATCAAATTTCCCTCGAAACAAGTTTTCTCAAAATGGTCTTCACACACCAATTTGTGCTTGTTAAAGATGAAACTATTTGATGTAAGGTTAAGGTTGCACAACCATGTCTGATATAATTCTGTCTTTTTTGTGGGATCTGGAAAACTATGTAGACTTTTGCCGTAACCTTGTCGGACAGAACAACCGTACGCTTGACAAGACATTTTGACACTGAATGACGACTATACGGTAATACCCGATTGATGATGGTGAGTTTTTAACGAACGGTCGGTAAATCCCCGATTCGTTTGAAACTTTGTGGTTTTTAGATATCACGTGACTTTCCTATCGGGAATGCCGGTAAGATGGCGGCATGTCGAAAACTGATAGTTAATTTCAGAAATCGATTTTGAACTCTTTAAATGGAGAATAAAACTTTAATATTTATGATAATGTGATTTTTTATGCTTAAAGAACAACATATTAATTTTTCATTTTTTTGCGGAGTTTCCCTTTAAAGAATACTTCAAGTTTGATTGAATTTGGTCAAGGAGAAGATAAGTTTATGATGATGGATTCAGACAGACACCAAAAGATGGCAAAAGATCACTTGCAAACCCTATGAGCCAGGTGAGCAAAGAATGAATAATATCGTGTAAATGTTTACCTGAGTTTGATGTGATGTCAGACTTGATACATACTTCAATTGTTACTTTATCATCTTTCACATAATTATTAGCTGGATTTACTAACTCCTGTCAAACAGTAAAAGTAATTAAATAATATAATCATGATAAAAAAAAATATTACATGGAACACTTTTTATTCTGATGAATATCATTCTACAAATGCTTATCCTAATGGTGAAAAACAAATCAACATGTTGACACAGAGAGGTATTGATTGCTTCCATTTTACAGTGTGCATGTTGTGAACTGTGTTGTTTTTGAACAAATTTTAGCAAAGTTTGAGTTATTTTCTTTTGTCCATAATTATAGGTAAAACAGATAGACATATGCCATGCACTATTTCTGTAACTTACATGATCATTTTTTTAATAAAGTAGTTTTCTTTGTCAAGAACAGTTATAAACATACCTACAGATCATTTTGTAACTTGAATATTCGAGTATAAATTATTAAAAAATTGCTCGACTTGGGCATTGATAGGATCTAAATCATGTTACCTCACTGCACTATGTTAGGTAAGGTAGATTTGAGATGCAGATTATACTTGTAGTTTAAGGGATAAATATCAACTGACAATAATCAATTTGAACCATTATAAAATCTTTGTATTTATCATTTTGCATTTAAAAAAAATATTTTCTTTCATTGACAGCCTTCACTTTTGAATATACAGTGTTGTTGTAGTATATAGTTGTTAAAGACTTTGCTGATTTCATCTAACATAAAACTTTCATTGCTTTTCAATAGTTCATTTATTTATAATCATGAACATTCTAACAAAAGAAAGGTTTTCTCATTAGAGAACTATGATAATATATATATACATGTATTGTTATTCAAGAAATATAAATACTACTGAAATATTGTTTTTCAATGGATCAACTTATCCTGTTACCTTATAGTGACACCTACTGTTATCACATGGTTTTATATGAGTTACTCATTGTACTTACATTCCATGATATAAATTTACTGTATCCTTCACTATTCTTTTTGCTACAAAACAAGTGGTGAACTGCTGGAAAATATATAGAAAACAAGCCTGAAACAATTTTTATACCAACCAATTAAAATGTTTAAAACTATATTATCATTTTTTTTTAAACCAAAGCACTGAGCCTGGTTGAGATCCTTATCTGTAGCAGAAGAAACACATTTTTGCACTTGAGCACATTGAAGAATGTAAAGTCTGCTGAAAATTAAATGGTGGGTAAAAATTGCCCAACTTTCAGTCTATTAATTGCCCCAAAAACCTTGATCTTTGACCCAAAAATCAAAAGGTCTTTTTCACCGAAAGGTGCATTATCCATTTAAGATATAGAAAGAGGTAATTTATGGCTCAAAAAGTTATGACCCTGAAATAAAACTTTTCCCAAACTTTCATAGCATTTACAGGCTCTGTGACCTTGACATTTGACCTATTTACTAAAAAAAAACAATAGGGTCTCTTACCCATATGGCATTCTCCAGCTAATTTTCGTGGAGCTTGGACAAATGGTTCAAAAAAGAAAATCCCAAAACAAAATTTTTTGTCAAAATTTCATAACTAATAAAATGCTCCAGGGCGCAGCTTGATACGACCGCAGAGGTCGAACCCTGAACAGTTGGGGCAAGTATGGACACAACATTCAAGCTTGATACAGCTCTGAATTTGGATTGTGATTAAATATTTGACACAGCATAGGTTTCTGACACAGAATGAATGTGGTCTAAGAACTTAAAAATTTTAAATTGGACATTCACCTATTATGGTCCAATATCCAAAATCTAAATACATGGTTAGATTCAGCATATCAAAGAACCCCAAGAATTCAATTTTTGATGAAATCAAACAAAGTTTAATTTTGGACCCTTTTGACCTCAATGTGGACAAAGTTGATAACGGGGCCCAAAAATCTAAATACATGGTTAGATTCAGCATATCAAAGAACCCCATACATTCAATTTTTGTTGAAATCAAACAAAGTTTAATTTTGGACCCCGATTTGGACCAACTTGAAAACTGGGCCCATAATCAAAAATCTAAATACATGTTAAGTTTCAGCATATCAAAGAACACTAAAAATTCAATTTTTGTTAAAATCAAACTAAGTTTAATTTTGGACCCCGATGGACCTTAATGTAGACCAATTTGAAAATGGAACCAAAAATTAAGAATCTAAATACACGGTTAGATTCGGCATATCAAAGAACCCCAATAATTCAATTTTTGATGAAATCAAACAAAGTTAAATTTTGGACCCTTTGGACCTCAATGTGGACCAATTTAAAAACAGGGCCCAAAATCCAAAAACTTAATACACGGTTATATTCAGCATATTAAAGAACCCCAAGAATTCAAGAATAAAACCCCATTGAAATTGATCAAGAAATAAGCAATTTATAAGAAGTATCTTTTTTTGTACAATACTGAGCAATTGAATATTTCTTGTTATTGCGCAATACTGTACAATTGACAATTTCTTGCTATTGCGCAATATTGTGCTATTGGATATTTCTTGCTATTGCGCAATACTGTTCAATTGAAGATTTCTTGCTATTGCGCAATACTGTGCAATTGAAGATTTCTTGCTATTGTGCAATACTGTGCAATTGAAAATTTCTTGCTATTGCACAATACTTATTATATAAAAATTTACACATCCTGTTTGGTGTGTATCTCCTACCATATCATTATTATTTGTTTTTAAATATAAATCAGAAATAACCAACTTAAAATGGAAAATTTTAAAAGAAAAAAAAAAGGAAAAAAAGAAAAAAAAAGAAAGAAAAAAAAATCCCCCCCCCCAATTTTTTTAACCCCCTTATGATTCATCACCCCCAAACTGAATCCCAGCCTTCCCTTTGTGGTATGGTACCTTGCAGTACAATTTCAGAGAGATCCATACACTTGAACACAAGTTATTGTCTTGAAACTAGAAAAATGCTTATTTTTGGCCCCTTTTTGGCCCCCAATTCCTAAACGTTTCAGGCAATTATCCCCAAACTCAATTCCAGCTTTCCCTTTGTGATATGAAACCTTGTAGTACAATTTCAGAAATATCCAAACACTAACACACAAGTTATTGTCATGAAACTAGAAAAATGCTTGTTTTTTGCCCCTTTTTTGGCCCCTAATTCCTAAAATTTTGAGGCAATTACCCCCAAAATCAATTACAGCCTTCCCTTTGTGATATGGAACCTTGTGGTATAATGTCAGAGAGATCCATACACTTACACACAAGTTATTGTCTGAAAGTTACAAAAATGCTTATTTTTGGCCCCTTTTTGGCCCCTAATTCCTTAACTGTTGGTACCATAACCCCCAAAATCAATCCCAACCTTCCTTTCGTGGTATTGAACCTTATGGTAAAATTTCATGGAGATCCATTCACTTAAACTAAAGTTAGAGTGCGAAAACCAATGTGTCTTCGGACGACGCCGGACGACGCCAGACGACGACGTCATACCAATATACGACCAAAAAATTTTTAATTTTTGAGGTCGTATAAAAATTCATTAGGGTCTCCCATATGGCATTATCCAGCTAAGTCTGGCAATGGTTGAACAAATGGTTAAAAAAATAAACATCCAAAATTAAACTTTTTGCCCAAATTTCTGTATTATCAATTGTTGGTGATTTCATGATACATTACCAAATCAAATTTTGTAGAAGTTAATCATTTGGAAATCAAAATTTGTCAAAATTTCATTCTATCAATTGACGGTAACTTTGACATTTGACCTATTGATCCCAAAATCAATATCAGTCTCCCTCATCCCATGGGACATTATCAAACCAAAAAAGTTTGGTAATAGTTGGGTATAGTTTAAAAGATAACATTGGGAAACAAACATTTTGCTGAAATTTAAATCTACAAAAAGTTTCTGTGACCTTAACCTTTAACCTATTGACCCAAAATTCGATAGGGGCTTTCCGAATTCCATGGGGCATTATCTAACCAAGTCTGATAACAGTTAGACATATGATTCATAAGATAACATTAAAAGTATGATAAAAGGTCAACATAAAGAGTACCCATTTTGTTTGGGGTTCATTTTAAAGTTGAATACCCTAGATTCTGACTAATAACTTATTACACTTACTTTTTGTCAAGGGTTCATCACTATTGTGTTTAAGAATTTTGATTGATGCTTCTACTTTACACTTCCATTTCCTACAAGAGAAATTTGTGAAATTAAAAAAATACAATTAACTAGACTATTGTTCTTTATAAGCACACACATTTTGTCATTCAACTCAAAAGCTAACCAAAAACCTTTCTAGACACTTATTCATAAGGGATATAGGTATGATACTGTTGTAAAGGTCGTTAAAGATGACATTTTTGGGAATTAATATCGATTCACTCGGATCTTTGCATGGGAAATAAACACAATTATTCAAAAACTAGTTGTTGGCATGATACGGGTTATGTTCATGTATAATTTATAATGGCATGATACTAAACCCTTAATGGGAGGGAATGTGGATAATTTTTTTATGATGAAGACATAATCTTTCAATCAGTTTAATTGAGGTCTTGAGCTGACATGTCAGTAACTACTGGTACAAAAAGGTAGTCCTTTGTTAATAATTTATGTTGATCATTGTCATTTTGCTTATAAAAATAAGGAGATGAGGTATGATTGCCAATGACACAACTATCCACCAAAGTTCAAATAAAGTGGATGTAAGCAGTTAGAGGCAACCATACGGCCTTCAACAATGAGAAAATGAGTTTCTTCTGTAAACTATTCTTACATTGGACTCAGACTTCTTTGAATCTGAGTTTTACTGTGTGTATTGCTGTGTGTTTGTTTATTTCACCTTTTCTAGAGGTATAGGAGGGTTGATATCTCACAAAACATGTTTAACCCAGCCACATTTTTGTGCCTATCCCAAGTCTGGAACCTCTAGCCTTTTATAGTCTTGTGTGTTTTTTTTATTCAAGTTCGTTTGTATGTTTCAGAGTTTAGTGTGGAGTCCATTTTGCTGAACTAGTATACATTATTGTTTAGGGGCTGAAGCCTGCCTTGTGGTGAATGATTTTCTCACAGTGTTGAAGACCCACTGGTGGCCTTGGGCAGTTTTCTGCTCTTTGGTCGGGTTGTTGTCTCTTTGACACATTCCCTGTTTCCATTCTCTATTCTAATGTGTAATGTCATAATTTATACCTTTCAAGCAATGACCTTTAGTTGTGTTAAGACTACCTGATACATGGCAGTGAACAGCTGAATGTTTATCATGAAAAATGACTTATCCTTTATTTTTTCACTTTGCATTATCAACATCAATGACTTGACTGTGGTTCTTCTGTAGCAGTTGGGTCAACTTTCTGACTAACTGAATAGATTGATTTGATGAAACAATTTGCAATTTGGTCAGAATTTCGATTCTCAATAGGTGAAGAAAAACTCATACAATCTAGTCACTGAGTAGAAATGTGTCCTACATAATTTCTTTCACTTCAAGGAAACTTCATGATTTCCTAAAATAGTCTTACTCTGAGATCATGTTATCAATATTTGAATATGAGCCAAGATCTCATACAAAAAGATATTTTGCTACAAGATGTCTTAGGTTTTTTTTATTTGTTGATTTACAGATCCACTGACCCTTTTTTTCTGATTTTCAAAAGTGTACCAAGTTTCAAGTTGATTGGACTTCAACTTCATCAAAAACTATTTGAACAAAAACTATTTGACCAAAAACTTTAACCTGAAGCAGGACAGACAGACGAACAGACGGATGGACGGACGCACAGACCGAAAAATATAATGCCCCTCTACTATCGTAGGTGGGACATAAAAATATCTGCGTAGCAGTCTTACTAGCAGCTTTTTTCTGAAAAGTCAAATACATTATTTTAGAATGTTATAACATTAACAGAAATGATTACACATAGTGTTCAAGAAGCATAAACATATAAAAATAATCAGAAGCTTTTGTGTTATAAAAATAGGAAATCAAAACTGACCTTGAAATGTTGTTTGTGCAAATAATTTTGTGAAATGAAACCTATGTTAAAAGCCCATTATGATAAGTTCATTTTCTGTTTTTGTCATAATTCCCTAAGATTTTTTATCTCATAGATGAAATAGACCCTTCCAAACGTGAAACTTCAAGTTACCTTAAACAATTTGTAATTTTCTTGTTTCATAGGTTGAAGTAAGCTGAAATATATGTTTAATCTATACATATTTTTGTCTTGTAAGATATTTTATTTCTTTTTTTTTCCCCGACAGACTCACCTGACTTTTCCACATAAAAAATCTGTCAACCAACAAATAAATAAATGTGGATAGTGTCCACATGTGGACACAGATGATGCCCCCGCTTGCATATCATATAGTTATAAAGGGACATAACTGAAGAACGGTCATAGGGACGCTACCCAAATTTTAACTTGATCTGAGTTTTGTGGTAATAAGCATTGTGTGTAAGTCTCATAACATTTGGTTGAGGCTAACTTAAGTCAAGAACAGAAACTAAAAATTCAGCAATTTTTCTATTTGTAAACACGCAGAACTCTAGAACGGTTATGTATAAGTTTTATAACATTTGGTTGAGGCAAACTAAAGTTAGAGAATGGAAACGAAAAAATTCAGCAATTTCTATGTTTATAAAGGGACATAATTCAAGAATGGTAAAAGTGTCGCCACCAAATTTCATACTTAATCTGTATTATGTATTAATAAGCATTGTGTATAAGTTTTATAACATTTGGTTGAGGCAAACTAAAGTTAGAAAAACGGAAACAAAAAATTTGTACTTGATCTTAGTTTTGTGGTAATGAATATTGTGTATAGGTTTCATAATATTTGGTTGGGGCAAACTTAAGTTACAGAATGGAAACTAAAAATTTAGCAATCTCTCAATTTATAAAGGGGCATAACTCAATAATGGTTAAAGTGACACTACCCAAATTCAACTTGATCTGTGTTTTATCAGTGGAAGTCAAAATTAAACATTGCACTGTAAAAAGCATTGATTGTAGTTGATTCAACTATAATCATGGACAAAGGAAGATAACTCCAATTTTAAAAATAACTTGATATTTAGAAGAAAATAAAAATTTAGCAATTTTTCCATTTATAAAGGGGCATAACTCTAGAACGGTTAAAGTGACGCCACCAAAATTCAAACTTGATTTATGTTTTGTGGTAATAAGCATTGTGTATAAGTTTCATAACATTTAGTTGAGGCAAACTTAAGAAATAGAATGGAAACGAAAAATTCAGCAATTTCTATGTTTATAAAGGGACATAACTCAAGAATGGTAAAAGTGTCGCCACCAAATTTCGTACTTAATCTGTATTATGTATCAATAAGCATTGTGTATAAGTTTCATAACATTTGGTTGAGGCAAACTCAAGTTAGAAAAACGGAAACAAAAAATTTGTACTTGATCTTAGTTTTGTGGTAATGAATATTGTGTATAGGTTTCATAATATTTGGTTGGGGCAAACTTAAGTTACAGAATGGAAACTAAAAATTTAGCAATCTCTCAATTTATAAAGGGGCATAACTCAATTATGGTTAAAGTGACACTACCCAAATTCAACTTGATCTGTGTTTTATCAGTGGAAGTCAAAATTAAACATTGCACTGTAAAAAGCATTGATTGTAGTTGATTCAACTATAATCATGGACAAAAGGAAGATAACTCCAATTTTAAAAATTACTTGATATTTAGAAGAAAATAAAATTTAGCAATTTTTCCATTTATAAAGGGGCATAACTCTAGAAAGGTTAAAGTGACGCCATCAAAATTCAAATTTGATCTGTGTTTTGTGGTAATAAGCATTGTGTATAAGTTTCATAATATTTGGTTGAGGCAAACTTAAGTAAGAGAACGGAAACTAAACATTTTGCAATTTTTTCATTTATAAAGGGGCATAACTCTAGAACGGTTAAAGTGACGCCACCAAAATTCAAATTTGATCTGTGTTATGTGGTAATAAGCATTGTGTATCAGTTTCATAACATTTGGTTGAGGCAAACTTAAGTAAGAGAACGGAAACTAAAAATTTTGCAATTTTTTCCATTTATAAAGGGGCATAACTCTAGAACGGTTAAAGTGACGCCACCAAAATACAAACTTGATCTGTGTTTTGTGGTAATAAGCATTGTGTATAAGTTTCATAACATTTGGTTGAGGCAAACTCAAGTTAGAGAACGGAAACCAATTTTGGGACGTACGTATGTACATACGTACAGACGGACAAGGGTAAAACTTAATGCCCCCACCACTACAGCGGGGGCATAAAAAAAACCTGGCCTTATTAAAATATGTAAACCTCTAATTCACACTGTAACTCTTTAGGGCCACATTAGTAAAAGTTATAGAATTCTCAAATTGGACAAGTACAGATCCCTACAGCGAATTTATATGATAGGGAGTTAATATTCACTCCCCTATGACTTACAAGATTGGTCAACCAGATCAACCAGTACATGATACAAATGATAGTTTTACTCATAATGATCAGCTGCTAAATATCACTTTCACTCATAAATCAGAAATACATAGCATGAGGACTACTGTAAATTCAGAAGTTATGTGCATTTATAATTGTGATTGTTGGACAAATGGGAATTGTTGGACAAATGGGAGTTTTATAATTGTGATTGTAGGACAAATGGGAGTTTGATAATTGTGATTGTTGGACAAATGGGAGTTTTATAATTGTGGTTGTTGGACAAATGGGAGTTTTATAATTGTGATTGTTGGACAAATGGGAGTTTTATAATTGTGGTTGTTGGACAAATGGGAGATTTATAATTGCGATTTCAGGAAATGCTGCATGCAAATAATGCTATTAAAATTAAAATTCGAGTTTTTATAATGGCTACCCCTATCTCCTCGCAATATTTGCAATAATAAAAACATCACAAAAATTTGTGAATTTACACTATATATTGACCTCTAGATGTGTTGTTCTACTTGGGTGTTGTAGTTTTGCAGTCTCATTGACATGTACGTCTCCTGTTATTCTTAGAAAAATCAATAAAAATCTCTTCTATCAAGCAAATATATATCTAAATTAATTATCTCCTGCAGAATAGCATTAAAGTTAAAACCAACCAAAAAAGGATTGATGGCCATAAACATACCATGGGTAATGTTGTGATTAGTACAAACAAACATATTGACATAAATAGAAAATAAAGTGATGTGGCATGATTGCCTATGAGACAACTAACTTCAAGAGACCAAATGATGTTGACTTTAGGTTGCCCTACAGCCTTCAACAATGAGCAAAACCCATATGGCATAGCAAGCTATAAATGGCCCTAACATACCAAAATGTGAAACAGTTCAAATGAGAAAACCAATGGCCTGAATTATGTATCAAACAAAAAACGAAAAACAAATAGGATATACCTTTACTAACAACCACTGAATTTAACTGGCTCCTATCCTGGTAATTTCAATTACAATAAACAAACAATACTTGAATTAAATAAAATATCTATACCTTGAAATTTCATCTCCCTCACACTGAAGAAATATTCCTAAATAGTTCTGAAGACATAAGCTCAGAGATTTTGTCCTTTTTTTTTTGTTTTTCCATTGAGGTTTAGCAACAAGTCTCCTGAAAATAACAGTTTTCTTTAATAAATTCAGATTTTCAGTACAAGTTACTCTTTCAATTTCCATATAATGGAATATCTCCCTCATTCATAGGTCTGGTTTGGCTATACTTGTGGTTTTTCCTGGATAATTCAGGTATTCAAGGTTTTAGTTTTTGTTTTTTCATTTTGGCCTGGATCATCATCATGAATAGTTGAATTGTACATCCTGTGCAGTAAAATCAGTACCATTAAAGTAACTATACATATTATCAAATTGCAAAAGATAAATTTCAAAAATTTCCAGAATATGAAATAAGCAGATTGACTCTAATTGGGAAGTACAGGAGTATGCACAAGGATGACAGAATTTTTTCATGCTTTGCCAAAATGGTGTTTATATTGATTTGATAAAAAATATAATATTATACATTTATTTCCCGTGCCGGAGGGAGATATGAAGATTTGTTCACCCTAGAATATTCATATTTCACGAGGGCTCTGCCCGAGGGAAATATGATTTTTCGAGGGTGAACAAATCTTCATATCTCCCGAGGCAAAGGGAAATGAATGTTTTATTCCACTGCCTATGCTTTGTTTACTATCAATACATTATAAATATTATTTTGCATACATTTTTTTTCTTATCCGCTTGTTTTTGTAAGTCAAACTAAACACGACATACCCATTGATAAACAGTAAGGATCAAAATTTAATTATAAGTTTTTTTTGTTTTATAGTCTGAAATAAATTTGAACATGTTCATGAGTTTAGCTATCGCTATTTTAAGAAGAATAAGAAGTTCAAAACGTTATGTACATTAACCGCGCGTAACGTCGCACGAAGTAATCCCGACATTTCAGAGGGGAATATGATCCTCAGAATGGAATATGAAGATTTGTTCAATGACACGTGGGATAGTCTCAACCAATCAAATATTGATTAACCTATCAATATGTTTAAACAGTGGAATAATATATAAATGATAGGTCACCATATTTTTCTCAAAAGTTAACACATTTTGTAAGGATTATACAGGAAAAAAGTATTACTATTTGAACAGAGAGAAAACTAATGACAGAATTTTGAAATCAAATATGAGAAAAAAAAGAAATTTTGGGTCACCATATGTTATTTATACTTTAACACAATATAATAAATTGTTTACTGTATATTCCTTTATTACTTTTAATTGTTAAAGTCATCTCCTCTTATACAGCTAAGTTAAATGTTTTTGAATCAACCAAAATATATTCTGCATTTGTAAAATGAATCATAATAACAAGATAAAATCACAATAATTGTGTTCATTTCAATGAAAAGTGTTACAAATAAATTGCCTTCCTGACATGCCTGAGGGGCGATAGGAGGGGGTGTTAACCCAAATTCCTGAAAAAATAAAAGTATTCTTTCCCAGATCCCGAAAAATTAACTATCAATTCCCGAGTCACATTAGTTGTAAATCCTGAATCCCCGTGGAATAAAGGCCCAATCCAGAATTACCGCAAAAATAAAGGACCCACCCTGACGCCCCAAAAAGGTCCTTCTGCCCCTCATTCCTACCTCAAAATTTGCTCAACTGATTAAAAATCTACCTTTTACATTGGAAGATTACAGAAAAACTCAATATTTCCTTAAGAATCATGTGTTCAATAGCCATTGTTGCCCCTCCCCCCCAAAAAACCAACAAAACATAGGAACCATAGGAACCACCCTAACCTGTTACTAAACAGTTAATGTAATGGCAATACTATTACATATTGGTAGTTCAAAATTACTACGAGAAGGTCTGTTCACTATAATTTCAAGTACAAAAAATGAATTTTTAAAAATAAAAGATGAAAATATAAACTGAGAACAGTCAGGATTCTACTTCGTCAAAATTATCTCCCCATTACGCCAGCTATTATTTACAATAATAGCAAATGGAAGCCATTGGGATGACGCGCTTCCAATTTAGCTCTTGAAAATCGATATATTTTTCCACATAGCACCATGACGATCCTTATATGCCAGTTGTATTTCAAAAGACAAATGTATCTACGAGCTAATGAACATCATTTAATGTACTGTTCTGCATTTAGTCATTTTAAAACTATTGTCTGATCAGTTGTCAGGGGGAATTTTCAAAAGTTCAAAAACATTTTAAAAAATTCTAATTAAATATTTCGTGGAAGGGCAGACTAAACATGCTAAATATTTTCAGAGGTTGAAGACAAATAACCCTAGATAACACACACAAAAAATGAAGTTTTTTTTGAAGATATGCATTTTTAAAATCCAGCTGTAAAGTCTGTCTTCAAGTACTTTTAATAAAAAATTGTTATTCGAACACACCTACTCTGTTGTTATGACCCATTAAAAAGGTATTTCACTTGACCCATATATTTCATTTTTTTGGTACTGTGAATTTTAAATGTTATTAAATCAACCTGTAGCCTAAATATATAAAAATAATAGAATCTGAAGTGAGATGATGTATCAAATATTTTTGCTTTATACATTTTCAAGACAGAAAAGTCAACTCAAACACGCCTGAACACAAGAAGGTGTACTCGACTTTCTCTTTTCGGTGAAATTATTGCCCATTTTTAGGATTTTTCCCAAAAAAACTATCGGTGGGACAGAGATGCAACTTAATGCTTTGAAAAGATCAATCTATTATCTTTATGTGGAATGTTTTTCGGCGGAATTTAGGCTTATGCACAAAAAAGATCCACATGTATTTGCACCTACCACAATCGATTGTTTTATGAAAATGTGTCTATAATTCAAAAGTTTACAAACATCTCGAGGCTCCATACTATAATTTATACAAAAACACGTTTATATGATGCATAAAATCTTAAATTATGCACCTTCATTGAACTTTTAAAGACCATAGAAACAGATATAAACAATTCAAATATACCTATTTGGCTTTTTTTACCTTCTCTAACAAATAGTTCCATTTCTTTTGTTTAATTTCAACTGGATATCCACCTGGAGAACTTACATTGGAGATTGGTAAATTGTGTACTAACCATGAAAGATTCCCTTTCATACAAGGTGGGCTTAACTGTTTTCTTTTAAATTTTGCTATATCTTCAATTGTATATTTAAATATAACTTCATCTGTATGTTTATCTAAAATACATTGCATTAATTGAGAAATAAAATGGTTGATTGTTATTTAAGTTACAAATGATTTTGTTAACCAAACTTCGAATACTTGATTCATAAAGTAAAAACAAAGTCTTAGATGCATGATTTCTTTTATTAGATGTTAGTGGCTTTGAACTAGCTGTCAGTAACTGCGAGTACTCTCAGATCTGTACTTTTTGTTATTGGGATGTATAAGTACCCTGCCACGTCCACTTTGTTTTTTGTTAGAAGTATTTCTTCTTTGTATCCATCTGATGAGTTAAGCCCTTTTCAACTGATCTTTATAGTTTGTTCTTATGTTGTACTGTTACACCACTGTCCCAGGTAAGGTGAGGGTTGGCGCCTTCAAACTAGTATAACCCCGCCACATTCTGTATGTGCCTATATCCCAAGTCAGGAGCTAGTAATTCAGTGATTGTCAGTTGTTGCTGTATATCATATTTGTTTTTTCGTTCATTATTTTGTACATAAATCAGGCTGTTAGTTTTCTCGTTTGAATTGTTTTACATTTGTCATTTCTGGGCCTTTTATAGCTGACTATGCTGTATGGGTTTTATTCATTGTTGAAGGCCGTACAGTGACCTATAGTTGTTAATTTCTGTGTCATTTGGTCCCTTGTGGAGAGTTGTCTCATTGGCAATAATTAATTAACCACATCTTCTTATTTTTATATAGACAGCTCATTTGTGCTTATTACAGTTTCAATCTATCTAAAATAAGACAAGATATACAAATAAGTCACATGGCTGAATCTGATAAATGATATATGTCCTATTTAAGGATTTTGCCTATTATCTTGAATATTAGTGTGACAGACACTGTAACCTGCAAAATTTGTCAGAAACATAAGATATACAAAATTCCATTATCAATGATCTCCTTATAGGAGTTATTATCCTCATAGGATGATGTTTGAGCAATTTTTTGGCATTTCAGCTTATTATCTAGAAAACTGTTTCTGTTTATATATTTCAAGATAATAGACAGAAATGCTAACATTGATTAAAAAAAATCTCTACTTATACACTTATTACCATGATTAGTTTCTTTAGGTATATAATTCTCACAGTCTATACACACTTCATCAGGTGTATTTTCCTTGTTGAGGTAAAAATGATCAGGCAACTGTAGTCTTCTGGCTTTATCAATCTGATCTTTTGATGCCTTGTCTTCTCCAATAATTTCAATGTCATCAGAATCTATAATGAAATATATATATACTTGATATATATATACTATACTAGAACACACCCACGAAATCGTGGGCATTTAGAGCGTGGTTGAAAGTATGTAAACTGTATAAGGATGAATTTTTGTAAAAGATTTTATGACTGGAGAATTTCAGGAAAGGTATCAAAAGTCATATAAAATAGCCCTCCCCCTTTTTTCCAAAGTCCGCTATTTTTTGTTTTCTGTTGATAGTAAATAGCAAATACACTTTATTCATAGTATATGTATGATCATAGGATACAGAAAAACGCCAAAATAATTGTTCTGTTACCAAGTACTTATGAAAATTATGTGTAATTTTAAACAGTCGGAAGTCTTGTCTATGACTTAAAAGTCCGTCCGAAGACGGAAATAATATCTGGACGCCATTATTTTCGTTTTCCTCCCAAAATAACCCAAACTGAATAATCATAAGCGAGGATAACAAATGCGACTATGCATGGTACTTATAGGACACCGAGGCATAATGATTTATTTATTGTGGAAGGAAGAGAAGCGACACACAAAATGAAGTTTTCTCGTTTAATAGTATACATGTAGATATGTTAATGGTATGTATCCTGGAGAATCTGAATAGCTTCTTATCATAGTCATTTCTTCAGGCTACATTGACTTCAGGGAAGTTGTACATAAAAAAAAAAGCATGATATAAACTGCATTTTGTCAAATTATTAAAAATTTCTATTGATTTGAATTTAGACCCCACTTCCCCATCTACATTATTTAGCTGTGCGACCACATGATTACTGGGACCTTGGTCAATAATGCTATTGTTAAAACACATCACATATATTGTACAGGGGTATTTAAAATAATTGATCCATTTGTTTTAGAGGAGCTGATTTTGTATAAAATAAAACTTCATGAAAATAAGGACACCAAGGGGGAATCACAATGGATTATACTTGTTATACATACAAGTATTATAAGTTGAAAAAATTATAATTTTAGCGCCACTGGACAGAGTATTTGGATTACTGCACTGGTCATGATCTTGCTTCTTCCTTCTTTCTGTCAGGCAGTCATGTGAAAACTCCTTCATTATCTTAAAATTTTGAGAAGGAATATCATTTCTCTCCTTTGAAACCAAACTGTAAATCAGATCCACTCATTGCATTTTTATTCTTATATCTATATGTCAATGCTAAATACAACTGCATATCAAATATCATTTGCTTATCATAAGTGCTTCCCCTTAAACTGACCTAACACAAATTTTGACTTGTAATCTAGGCAAAAGTTTTCAATTAAATAGGTTGATGGGGCAATGCCAACTAATCTCATGGAACTGAGATTTGACACCGCTTATACAACTGAAAACAAAATATCATTGATTTGTCACAATTTGTTTCCCTTTAACATGTTTAAGGCTTAACCTGTTCCTATTTAAGGCTTAAACTGACCTAATCACAAACTTTAACATGTAAACGATGCGAAAGTTTCAAGGTCAACAGACCATGACTGATGTGGCTGGCAAATGATCTCCTTAAAATTAAAATGTGTGCAAATGCTGTATATACAACTGCATACCAAATATCATTGACTTAACAAAAACTTTTTCATTTAAACTAAAAAATTGATTTAAAGTCAACAGACCATGACTGAGGAGGTAAGGCCAAAAGATCACCTTGGAAATAAGATGTGACAATACTGATACAACTGCATAACAAATACCATTGAGTCTCCATCAGTTGTTATCCTTAAATTACCTTAAACACAAACTTAAATAAATTGGTAACCCTGCCCCTAGAAACAGTATGCGAAGTCACACATTTTGACTCTATCAAAGTAAGACAAAAATTATATCTTACCTTTTTACTTCAAATCATCAAGAGTTAATTTTTTCACAACTACAATTGAATCTCCCATTTTTTTTCATTTAAAGGGAAATTTAATAACCGGTAGCATGTGAACAGTTGGACCTGTATTAAAATAATGTGGTGTTCTTTACTTTCTTACTTTCTGAATTTCCATCAACACATTTATTGTTTCCTATGGCTTGATTGTATGCCTTTTATTCAACTTTCTGCCTTGATTATATGCCTTTTATTCAACTTTCTGCCTTGATTGTATGCCTTTTATTCAACTTTCTGCCTTGATTGTATGCATTAAATTTAACTTTCTGTCTTGATTATATGCCTTTTATAAAACTTTCTATCTTGATTATATGAATTTAATTTTACTTCCTATCCAATCTGAAAAATACAGAGTAGTGACATAGAGCAAGATTCACTAATTTACATGGCTAAACATGTGTGACATCAACATTTCCGTGTTCAATTTAGTCAAAAAAGAGGGACAAAAGATACCAGAGGGACAGTCAAACTCATAGATCGAAAAGAAACTGACAACGCCATGGCCAAAAATAAAAAGACAAACAGACAAATAATAGTACAGATGACACAACATAGAAAACTAAAGACTAAGCAACACGAACCCCACCAAAAACTGGGGGTGATCTCAGGTGCTACGGAAGGGTAAGCAGATCCTGCTCCACATGTGGTACCCGTCAAGTTGGTTAGAATATGTACTTCAAACATACCTGAAGTCTTCCTTCTATCTTTTCTTAAAGCTGCCATTTCATGAAGACCAATTGTAACAATAATTGGAGATTAAAATGATGGTTAATTCTTGCAAATGTCTGAAAAAAATATCAAACAAATGATTAATGTTATATCATAAACAATATAGAGTAAGTTGATAAACACTTCTAACAAACATTATCAATAATGTAACTTTATTCCATGTCAAACACTAATGTTATTAGAAATGTTACTCTAACAATAGTTTTCTGTTAATACTGTAAACCAACTTTTTTTTGGGGCCCTTTATAGCTTACTGTTCAGTGTGAGCCAAGACTCCGTGTTGAAGACCGTACTGTGACCTATAATGGTTTACTTTTATAAATTTTGACTTGGATGGAGAGTTGTCTCATTGGCACTCATACCACATCTTCTTATATCTATTATTTTCACGGATACTTTTTTTCGCGTTTACTCCTTTCTAGACCATTTTGCGGCGATTTAATTTCGCTATTTTTAAATTTTCTTGATGTAATTTAATCAGGGAAGATCCAAGTTTTTCATATTCGCTACAATTTATATTCGCGTTATTTTTCTACTCACGAAAGTTGCGAAAACAAATCGTTCCCAAAAATTAGTTGGTTTACAGTCCTTAGGCAATGAAGTTATAGGAAATGCTACTCTAATGTTAGTTCTGTGCAAATACTTAGGCAATGAAGTTTTAAATAAACTGTTATCACAGAGATATGTCTCGCCTTTTTGTAATTTTGATAATGCAAATGTTGAAATTAAAATAGCAATACTTTAACATATAAGTTATGCAAATATTCAAATTTGATGAACCATGACTGAAGGTACACGGCTAAACAATCTCCATGGAATGAGATGTGCCACTGCTAATACAACTGCATACCAAATACCATTGACTTATTATAAGTCGTTCCCTTTAAACAGATCTAAACACAAACGTTAACTTGTAAACTATGTAAAAGTTTCAAAGTCAATGAACCATGATCAAGGGTGGGGCTATATAATTTCCATGGAAATGATACTTGCAAATGCCAATAAATTTGCATACCAAATATCATTGACTTAACATAAGCAGTTCATCTTAAACTGATCTAATCACAAAGTAATACATGTAAACTAAGCAAGAGTTTCAAAGTAAATAGACCATGACTGAGGGGACGGGGCCAAATATTCTCCATGGAAATGAGATGTGCTAATGCTTATACAACTGAACACCAATTAACATTGGCCTACCACTAATGGCTCCCCTTAAACTGACCTAATCACAAACTAATTCATGTAAACTTAGCAAAATTTTCAAAGTCTATAGACCATGACTAAGGGGGTGGAGCCAAATAATCTCCATGGAAATGAGATATGCCAATGCTTATACAACTGCATACCAAATATCATTGACCTACCACTAGTTGTTCCCCATAAATTCACCTAATCACAAACTAATACATGTAAACTATGAAAAGTTTCAAAGTCAATAGACCTTGACTGAGGGGGCACAGCCAAATAATCTCCATGGTAATGAGATGTGCCAATGCTAATACAACTGCATACCAAATATCATTGACCTACCACTAGTGGTTCACCATGAACTAGACCTAATCACAAACTAATATATTGTTGACGCCGCCGCCGCCGCCGGAAGCAGCATACCTATGTCTCGCTTTTTGACTCCGTCAAGGTGAGACAAAAATATTACTCCAACGTTAGTTCTGTGTAAATATTTAGGCAATTCAGTTATAAGAAATGTTATTCCAACATTAGTTTTGTGTAAATACTTAGGCAATGAAGTTATAAAAAATGTTACTCCAACGTTAGTTTTGTGTAAATATTTGGGCAATAAAGTTATAAGAAATGTTACTCCAACGTTAATTTTGTGTAAATACTTAGGCAATGAAGTTATAAGAAATGTTACTCCAAGGTTAGTTTTTTGTGAAAATACTTAGGCAATGAAGTTATAAGAAATGTTATTCTAATGTTAGTTTGGTGTGAAAATATTTAGGCAATGAAGTTATAAGAAATGTTACTATAATGTTAGTTCTGTGTAAATACTTAGGCAATAAAGTTATAAGAAATGTTACTCCAACGTTATTTTTTTGTAAATACTTTCGGCAATGAAGTTATAAGAAATGTTACTCCAACTTTAGTTATTTGTGAAAATACTTAGGCAATGAAGTTATAAGAAATGTTACTCCAACGTTATTTTTTTGTAAATACTTTCCGCAATGACACATGAATGAAGTTATAAGAAATGTTACTCCAACGTTAGTTTTGTGTAAATACTTAGGCAATGAAGTTATAAGAAATGTTACTCTAATGTTAGTTTGGTGTAGATATATAATGTTATAAGAAATGTTACTCCAACTTTGTTAAGTACCCGTACTCTTACGTAAAATGTAAATAAATAATGTAAGGAGGAACATTATTGTTTTCCCTTTAACGTTGCATGGAACATTACTTTATTGTTGATTGGATCTACAAAATGATGTAAAAATAACATTTGTAAGTAACTTAAGTATAATAAAGTTCACATCTTTAGTATAACCAGTTATGTCAAATGGATGTCCACAAACATGACATATAGAGACTAATACCCCCTTACATGCATAATTTCAGTTGCTGCTGTGAAATTCAGTATTGAGATGACTACATTTTGACATTTTAGGCTCCCTATTTTCATTTTATATAATCATTGGTTCTGTGTTAGATTGACACATGGTTTAAGACTGACAAATGACTGATAGGTCGATCTGACAAAATTATACTGATTCACTAAATCAGGCACAAAGTCTGAGGTTTGTATACTGTAAATTGAGAAATCAAAGGTTAAAGTAAAGATCAATATAATACTTCTGCATACAAAGTTTTGTCAATCTAAGTGATACAGTACAAAAGTGATGCACCAAACACAAATCAGACAATGTTTTACTATAAGGGTCAAAGTTAGAGTGACCCTACTTGATATATGACACATCCCTATCCCATGGTGCATCAGCATACCAAGTTTGGTAAACCAAAGTTCTACAGTACAAACATTATGCACAAGATACAAATCAGACAAGGTTTTACTATCTGACATAAGGGTCAAATGTCAAAGTCAAAGACCTTTGTATATGTTATCTCCAGCCCATGATGCAACTGCATACCTATAAGTTTTACTGTACAAAAGTGATGAGCTGTATACAAATTGGACAAGGTTTTCTATCATAGGGGTCACAGGTCAAAGTCAAGGTCAATGTATATAAACTCATCATAAATACTAGGATTAAAATTTTATTTGCCAGACGTTCTTTTTGTCTACAAAAGACACCTCAGTGACACTGACGCTCAAATAAAAAGTTTAAAAGGCCAAATAATTTAAGTATGAAGTTGAAGAGCATTGAGAACCATATATGACACACCCTATACCATGATGTATCTGCATACCAAGTTTAATCAACTTTTAATGTTCAATGGTACAAAACGAAAAGTTATTCAACAGACAGGAACCAGGACTGACGGACAGACAGATGGACAGACAGCCATTCCTATATACCCCCAAACTTTGTTTGCGGGAGATGTTATAAAGTTCACATTAAATAACATTAGAATTAGAATACCATTATTTTGTCTGCTGGCTAAGGATGACACCAGTGTGAGACTCAGAGTTGAGTTAGTCCCCTTTGTAAAACATGATGTTCCTTAAAAAATGATATATTGTTTTCAATATCAGACATATCATACAGCATGTCCATTGCATACATTTACACTTTAGTTATTACATAGTATTCAATAAAGTCAACCTTAAGTTCATTCAAATCCTTTGTAATTAAAACTGTTATATAGATATAACTGACAAATGTATAGTAAATGAATGACAATTTCAATTAATTCAGTAAAAATTTTACATCATTAAATACTATAATTAGTTTATATACAACAGATAACAAAACTAAAATGTGATAACTTACAATCCTTAAAAGCAATCTGTATTGATCAATTAGCGGTTAGTAGTGGAAAATGAAATTTAAAGTCGGATGTTTCCAGAACCTGATCCAACGGCTAGTTTCACTTTCAAAGAACTGATCAGAAGTGAAAGTGAAAGTAAACGCTTTCCGAAAAGATATTTATGGCAGTAGTTCCTGTTCACTGCATGTTTTTGATGGTCTTAACAGTGACAGTAAGTTCATTATTATCTCAAAATGACAAAGTCTTAGTAACATAGAAAAAAATGTTTTGTACTGTAGTACATTACTACGGAGAAGGGGTATTGTCAATGTCTCACTTACAAGTATAAAGGACAGATTAAACAATTACATGTCAGCCTACCGCCTTCATATGATCAAAACCCATGCTGAAGATTTAATCGCAGAGTCAAATCCTGTTTATTCTGATTCTTTACTTTTAGGGGCACTAATAATGTCCCTAATGTAAGACCTCGTTTGCCAAAGCGGGTTAGCCCTGTTGGTACTTCCGGTATAGGCACAGTTCCTTTGTTTGATAAGAATCAGCCGCCGGCGCATATCCACATTAGCCCCCTTCGCCTATTCAACATGATGAATATTCTGGCAAGTTGCGCATGATTAAAAGCTGCTGGTTAAAACGAATGTTGAATTGATTAGTAAGAGATGTTGGTCACTTGAGGCTAGAATATCTCAAAGATACTTTGCTGTTAGGGCGATATCTTGCCTGAAGCAGATCACGTTCCCGGCAGTATTAGTCCTTGACGGTGTTTACGAAGAAGGACCATTTCCTAATATCTTTGTATCTTTGGTGACTGGCTGTAAGAAGTAAAGGAGCTACCATTTGATTTTTATGGGGGGGGAGAGGGCTAGGATGAAATTTGAAAAAAATAGGCAGGACCGAAGTTTTGAATTAAAAAAAGGCAGGATGAGATACTTTGCAAAAAAAAAAGGCAGGATGACAATTTATGTAAAAAAAAAGACAGGATAAAGTAAAAAAAAAAAGGCAGGACCGAATAGAGTGAAAAATATAAAGGCAGGACAGAGATTATACAACTAAAAAAAGGCAGGACAACATTTTTCATCCTAGCCCCCCATAAAAATCAAATGGCAGCTCCCTCAGTCCGACTGATCAGGGACAGTCTATACTATATATTACTCAGTGGCGGATCCAGAGGGGTTCCGGGGGTTGGAAACCCCCCCCCCCCCCCCACACTTTTTTTTGACGATCAATGCATTTGAATGAGGACATATAGTTGGAACCCCCCCCCCCTTTTATCCTGGGTTATAAACCCCCCTTTTATAAATGGCTAGATCCGCCCCTGTTACTGGTGTAGAAAATCCCTGACTGCATGCAGCTTCTTACTGATTTTTGTAGGTAAAACTTTATGACTATACAAGGTTATTTTGTACACATGATGAGTCGAGCTTTTTTCGTCTTAGTTCATTTATTATGTCTATAAAAGACTCATCAGTGACGCCAGAATGAAAAGGTCAACCAAGCCAAATAAAGTACAAAGTTAAAGGTAAGGGAGCTACCATTTGATTTTTAGGGGGGGGGGGGGGCTAAGATGAAATTTGAAAAAATAGGCAGGACAGGAGTTTTGAGTAGAAAAAAGAGGCAGGATGAGACACTTGCAAAAAAATGTCAGGATGACAATTTAGGTAAAAAAACAGTCAGGATAAACTTTTAAAAAAAAGGCAGGACCGAATAGAGTGAAAAATAAAAAGGCAGGACAGAGATTACAACTAAAAAAAATGTTGACATCCATTCCTATATACCCCCCAATCTCTTTAAGAATTTAGTAATCATCGGAAACATTTTCAGACACTGCCTTGTCAATATCGACATACTTACCGCAATCTGGTATGAAAACTCTATGTGCACGTTGAGATTATCTCCTTGTACAGTTTTCCTGCTACCTCTTGTCTGTCATGGAGGGAATATGTCACACCACTTTGAGTAGCCACCCACTACTATAAGTACATGCTTGTATTCATCTGTTGTTTTTGTAGATCAACTGGTATGTCCATATGTCACCTAATATGTCAACACTTATTTGTGGTAAAAGAGGCGGTCGTTTAACATCGATATTATAGTGTTACTATACACAGTGTTTATGTTGTTCCGTTCTTTTTAGTAAAGCTATTACTTGTTTTCCTCTTATAGTTGATGTGTTTCCCTCGGTTTTTGTTTGTGACCCGGATTCGTTTTAGTTAAATCAATTTATGACTATTGAACAGCGGTATACTGCTGTTGCCTTTATTTACTAACTTGGTGATTCTGTATAGGCTCTTGTATTGATCCGATCTCTGATATATTGATCCCTTTTGCTGACAGAGAATCAATACAAGGCCAATACAGAATCAGCAACTTCGTAACACTTTTTATCAAATAACGAAAACAGTCCATTTGGCTGGTCCGTATGGCCAGTCCGTATGACAGGAAGTAGATACAGCTGGTCCATATGGCCAGTCCGTATGACACGATGTAGATACAGCTTGTTCTTATGGAAAAACGTATTAACCGGGCCAAACAGCCGTATTTAACGTATGGTTAATATGAGTTGATCTTTTGAATTCCATCTTAGTCATGCTGATTTTAGCATATTATTTGATAGTCCTTCTTTTATTGTCGACACACTTCACATTTTTTCACATACTGTTTTGTATTCTGTTATATTGAAGGCCAAAAGTACTAGTTGTGTAGTAATGCATATGTTCTGTCAAAATTATGATGCCCTTCGCCTAGAATACAGTCATGGTAAGACACCAAAAACAGCATCACGTAAAATTCTAGAAACGGCGATCTCTTTCACTAAGTGATCTTGTCTCGGTACTTGCTTACATTTTTTTTTGAATAAAAATGATCCAAAATTCCACCCTCTAGTGCAAAATTATATGATTCGGCCACAATTGTCTTTGCTAACACTGGACCATCTAGTAAATCTCGGTACGATATTCTTGTTAATGTTTGGATAAATTCTTAAAGTTTTGGTTCTTGGATGTTTACGATTACATTTTCTTCAACTACTTCTTTGTAGAACAGCACAGTTTTACTTAATATACTCCTTTTCATTGAGGTTTTACAAATTTGTCTGCCAAACATTTTGAAACTGTCGGTGTTGAGTCATACTGTTGCCGAGATAGACAATCAACAGTATTCTCGGAGCTTTCTGTGTATTGTGTTGATATAATATATCCTGAAGTAACAACCTCTATCTTCCTAGTCGGCCATGTCAGTTTTTGTTTCATGCAGGGACTTAACAGTTACATTTACGTATAAACAGTGAATTCTTGGATCACAAATTATTGTTTGAAGTGCTGTATACCACCAACTAGATATAATGCTTCCTTTTCGGTGATATGTCATCTTAGTTCAGAGCCATGGAAAGATCTTCCCCCATTAGCAATAGGGTGTTTCATTCCATTTTGAATCTGACTTAGCACATATATCCCTTTGATTATTCAGATGCATCCGTTGATGTATAAACTGTTTGTCAAATTCTTGAAAACTTGGATTGGGGCTGAAATAAGTGCATTTTTCAAAGTATTGAATGCCCTTTGACATCCCAATGTCTAGTCAATTCTCATAGTTTCCCTCAATAAAGAAGTTTAACGATAAAGGTGAAGCAATACATGCATAGTCCTTTACAAATTTCCTTTAATTATTCGCCATCACTAGAAATTTTTAAACTTGTTTTGCCATCTTTGGAGTTTGGAAATTGTTCACTTTCTCTTATTTTCTGGGTAAACTTTATTTCCATTTTTCGAAATTATATGTCCGAAATATTATCTTCATTCTTTGCAAATTTACATTTTGAAATTTTACATTTTTGATGTTCTGGTTTGGCATCAGCTTATATATCCATTATATAAATCAGACATGTGTGGAATTTAAAATGAAAGTGGTTCAGGTATCTTTTTTAGGGCACGAAAATTGACATAAAAACGAAAGTCACCATTTTGCTTCCTCACAAGACCTTCGTACAGGGCTTTGAAATGGTGATGTATATTTTACGATGATTCCATGTCTCTTCATCTGATGTAGTTTTCACTCTATCTCAGCATGCATCTGTCGATGTTAGGTGCTAAACTAACAACCTATTCACCTTTTGTATGAATACAATACTAGTGCATTTCAGTTTTACCAAGTTCAGACAAGATGAAATTTATAAAGTTTATGTAGCTGTGTCAAATTTAGGTGTGCATCATCTAAATTAATCCATAAGTACTGGCATGCAAATAAGTATATTGTGTATTAAAATTTGTTGTTACAAAATTTTTGAAATTATTTTAGATTAAGGAATATATCTCCCTCATCTAAAGCTCTACATTCCTTGGCCGGCTTTGTCTATATGGTTTGTCTTTTTTCGTTATAAGCTTTTTATTTTTTAATAAATTTTTCAAGTATTTTGGGCCTCGAGCATCACTGAAGAGACTTTTATTGTCGAAATGCGCACCTGGTGCAGAAAATTTGTATCGTTAATGCTATATCTACTTAAACATTTTCACAGTTTATTTAACTGAAACTAAAACAAATTGTTATTAGTATCCTGTTGATGTTAATTTCTCTACTATAAGATAAATTTACTCATCATATCAAATTAAATTCTACAATTAAAGCATCTGTTAAAATGCATTTTTACTTTGGTCAGTTGTTAGGACACCTATCATAGATTCACACTAAGAACCAACATATATCTATACTCACTTTATTTAAATTTTGTTTACTCATGATTTCAAGACATTTCTGTCTGAGCCATATCTCTACGGTATGTCAGTTATTAAGGGAAAACTGCAAAATGCAAATTTCATTATTCATACCTTTCCATCAAATAACCGTTACTTGTTGAGTGTAACTGTTGTAGGATTTTTTTCTTCAACTATTTTTTAAGCAAAACTAATATGTATTTTGTTAAATTCCTGAATTAAATCAGGGAATCTGTAAAACAAAATCTGAATTATTTCAATTATTTTGTAAAATCCCTAGTCTAATCAGGGATTTTACAGAATGCCTAGAAAATTTGAAAGGCATTTTAAAATACGAGTAAAGCTATAATTCATTATAATAGTTGGATTTATTTAACTAGTACTATCATGCAAATTAGAAAATAAATACCACTGAAACATGTTAAAAGTGAAGCTTAATATTAAGTACTTTAATAAGCCATCTGTTTTTACATTTAAATATTTCTCTTGTAACTAATTCTTCCAGCAATGTGTTTATCCACAATCTGATTCTATTACCACCTTGTTGTAGAAAACTGAGATAGCCTGCGAGAAAACTGAAATTTTCCTTAGGTCTAAATCATAACAGGAATTTGAGATTTTGTGTTCAATTTCGATGGATTCCTGCTAGTGTATACAAGAATTCCCTTTGGTATCCTTCGCCTCTCTTTTTCTAAGAAATTTTTGCAGAAACTTGCATTAAAGGGTAATATCAAAATGGTATATTTTTACCTGGTGAGCGATTCCGGTTCTTGCGACTCTATTGTTGCAAACCTTAAATGAAATTTAGCAGAAAGTTGATGAACCAGGGTTATGTCAAAGAACGTCTCCTCCTTTTTCTAGGAAGATACCAAGACCTTGTTGATAAATATATCAACTTCACAAATAATACAAATGATCTTGAAGTATAGATTCTAAGTGCTGACGTTGTTTATCATCTTAATTACGTGTTGTAGTGTTCTTTTATTTGTCTCTGTACATTATTAACCTTTACTGTTTAGACCATTTTTGGTATATCTTTTTGGTGTGGCTCGGTACTTATTCATTTCTCCGTCGTGTTATTGTGCTACGGTAATTTTTGTATTCTTGTCTTTCATTTTTGCTTATGTGCTTTGTCTGTATGCCTTTTTTTGTTTTCTTTATTGACATATTTATTTGTTTTTATAGTGATTACGATTATAACACAATGTTGACATGTAAAAACAGGTTTAATCCTCCATTTTCTAGGAAATAGCTGTACCAAGTCAGGAATATGACAGATGTTTTCCATTCGTTTGATGTGTTTGAGCTTTTGATTTTACCATTTGACACGGGGCTTGGAGTTTAATCTTTTGTTATTCTACTTTTTATTTAATATAATGCATACGTTTAATATATTGAAACATTTCATTTTCTGATCATCGATATATCACTTTAACCTTTGTATCATATCTAATTTCCAGATGATTTGAAAATGTTTACTGGACATTTATTACAGCGTCAAACTTTGTAATATAATGAAGAGGTATGATACGAGCAATTATTTGACCCCTGAAATTGTTAAAATAGTAACCTTGTTCAAGCCTTTCAGAAGTCATTCAATTTTATTGATAAAGGAATAGATTAATACGTCTGATGTCACTATGACGTCATACATATGACAAAATGAACGTATTTGATCTAAAATCGGTATTTCGCGCATAGTTTTTTGGTAAGAACATATATGACCAACAGCTTTACCCTAGCAAATATTTTACACACATTATCATCTTCGTAAAATACATTTTGTCGCAGGATATATTTTGGGTTAAAGCTGATGATTATTCTTTTTATTAATGAGAAAATTTCAAAATGAGTCTATTGTGGCAGTTTTTGTTGTTTTGAACTAAATGTAAGAAGTTTGAAGCCGTAGTGCCAATATGACAAAGACAAAATACTTATGGGCGATATATGTTTTATGAACATCTGAATGTTGTTATTTTGTAAAACTATTATACTTTTTTTTATTTTACGAATTTAATGGGCCAAAAAGTGGCCTTTTTATACCTTCTGTTTTTGTTGATCTTACCAACAACTGTGTGCTTCTTTAGGTTTTTAAGTCGTTGGAAACACTAATCTTGGTCTGTTGTATACCCAAGTTGACTTTTATTAGTAATTTTATAATAATTCTTCTATTAATACAAAATAGAGTGTAAATAAATAAAACAACAATCTAAATACAGCAATAAAAAAATGTAAAGAAGTCTAAAATTCAACAGGGAGTTTTAAGAATAGACAAATATCTATATAATATGTTAAACTCTAAATTGCAAGTCTAACAATAGACTTGCAAAGAACTGCCGTCTACTATTTAAGAAAAGATAGTTGATAAACAAAACACAACTGTAAGAACTGGCAAATATTCCAGTACGTATTAGCTTCTTAAATTTTATTCTGCACCAAGATTTGAAGTAAGAAGAAATATGGAGCAAAGCGGCCTTTATGACAACAGTCGTCTCTTTAATCAATTTTTGCAAAGTTGACAATATTCCTGAATTATTTTCTTTAAAGAAACCTCAAATATTCACAGTTTATAGAATTAAGACTGTTGTTTTCAATGAAAAAGATTTTTAACAGTAGTGGTGGTTGAGCTCTATGATTTCCATTTCAGATGTAAACATGGATAAAGAAAACTTCCAATTACTGGTATCTGGTGATTGCAATCAGTAATTTTACAAAGATGGCAGAATGTGTTGCCTCTCAAAAGACGATAGATATTTTAATTTGTCCAATTTGTCTAGAAAGATTCACAAAACCAAAGTATGTCCCATGCTTACATACTTTCTGTGAGGGTTGTATTTTGACATACAGTACTTCAATACTGGGGAAATTGGAAGGAAAGGATCATTCATATAAACTGTCCAGTCTGCCGAGCAACAGTTCAGTTACCAAAGAAAGAATGCACACCAAGGGAATTTGTAGATCAGTTACCTGCAAACTTCCTTATAATTGGGTTATTAGAAAAAGAAAAGGTTACACGACCAGAAAAGCTATGCATGTCAGGCGAGAGACTTGATATTACATCGAATGCAACGTTTATCTGCATGGATTGCTCAGATACACTTTGTGATACCTGCCAGAAATATCATAAATCAAACAAAGCAACTTCGAATCATGACATCAAACCAATAACTACGCTAACAGATGGAGAAAAAATACCGAAAGCATTCAAAAATATCTGTGCTCAGCATTGTAAAAAACTAAAGTTATTCTGCACTTTGTGTATCTTTAAGTCACAGAAAGTGTGATAATATTGTAACTATTGAAGAAGCGAAAAGTTTTTGTACAGATGCTAAATTTGAAAAGTTAAAAGTGGATATAAGACATGTATCAAATGATTTTGATACTCTTTTATCTCACTACACAGAATGTTTACAAAGCAATGAAACACAGTATGAAGATAAACAGAAGATGATAGAAATATCATGCAGTGATATAATTTCAAAAGTAAAAGCAATGGAAATAACAAAGAAAGCTGAACTAAAAAAATTATATGAGGAAAAGAAACATATTTTAGAAGATAGGATGGATACATGTACGAATTGTAAGAAAACTGTTCTTTCATATAAACAAACTCTTGAAATAAGCATTGAAAAAGCCCCTGAAGTGCAGATAATGATTGAGGCACAAAAGATAGCTAGTCAAATTGAGAAATATAAACAACTATTAAGAAATTACAGATTTGATGGTTCCAAAATTTTGATTTGTTTTGGAACAGGTATTCCAAACGCCATTAACGTGTTTATGAACAGTTTATTTAAAATATTCATAAGTAACGAAGTTAAATTCCTGAAACTGTTAACAGATGAGAGAATTCCTGTTTTCAATTCAGTGCAAAAATCATCTTTGAATCAATCAGTTGGATATTTTTGGAACCCAAAAGAAGATATCAAAATCAGTAAGTACTTTCAAAATACTACAAATACGGGTAGATATGAAAATAAGTGTATCTTTAATTTATTATTTAAACGACAAAGATCAAAAATAATTGATTAAATTATAATACATTCATTTTAATATGGCAAAATTGCATTAGTATACGTGCCAGCTAGCTTACGGATAAAAAAAAATTCCTGTTACTCTCTCTCGTGGTGGGGGACAATTTCTATGTAATCAATCATGGTTCCGAAATTTTTTTTCCCCCTTGCTATCTTTAAGGTTCCTTTGCTGGTAATCACTATTATTTCTATTGCAAGATACCAAATAGTGTCGGTCCTTTTTAATTTTGATGGCAAAAACCTTCGGAACACCACTTTTCGAGAACTGTGATAATTAGTGGAAGGAATAAGCCGCTGGAATAAGTCCCTTTTTAAGTTTCCTAAAACATGATAAGGGCGAGACATTTTGTCAAATCCATTTAAGTTTCATGAAATAGCGTAATATAGCTATACGTCTAGTTTTTGATACAAATATATGATAGGGTCTGTATTCAAAATATATGTAAAGGATGAGTTACTCGATGTCTCAGCTAAAAGATAACAAAGGGAGATTTAAACTCATATGTCGTAAATAAACTGACAACCAATGGCATAAAAGAAAGGGAGTAAAAGACAAACAACAGTACACAAAATACAACATAGAAAACTAAAGACAGAGCAACACGAATCCCACACTAAAACCCGGGGGTGATCTCATGTTCTCCTGGAGGGTAAGCAGATCCTGCTCCACTAGTGGCACATATCGTATTGCTCATGTAAGTACAAACCCGGTAGGTCTCATTTTTGGAAAAGAGGACGGTACTGTGGCTATAACAATTAGAACGTATCCGTCGTCATCTGTGAAATAGATATTCCATAACGGTCAACCAACTCCTGTTGGCGTACTTAAAATTTTCAAACTGATGATTTTAACTTCACCACTTAGATTTCTTGGTTTAATAGCTTACTTGTAAGAAGAAACCATTTATTAAGAAAATCATGATAGGACTATATAGGAATATAGTGTCAACCGTCAAGCTCTAAATATTTTTGAAAGAATAACAAAGATCCACTATAAATAAAGAATCCTGTAAATAAAAAAAAACATCAAAATATTCATTCCACTGTTGATAGTGATCAATGGACCAACAAAAGGCACACAAAAGTACAAAGTTAAAATTAGGAAAAAAAAATCTCTTAAATCTAAAATTATATATATGTTGTAAGACAAACAACAAAACTTTACCAATTGATGAAATTATGGTTTACCTTCCCTCGTTAAGGATGTACTTAGGTGATCTAAGGTAAAATTAGATGAATCAAGAAATCAAAATTGATACTTTAAGCTGAAAGAGTATAAGTTAAGGATCAAAATAAGCTAAACATATTGATAGGTCATGGAGCTCCTTTTCGAGATATTTGATTTATAAAATATGGCGGGAAAAGGCTGACGCGGAGTTTTACCTTATATTTGCATTAGTATTATTTGGGTCTCAAATCAAAAGAAAGGAAATCAAGAATCTGCTTAAATTTTGTCAAATGACCTTTTATGAGCTATTAAGTCTTATGCTAAAAGATAAATAGGTGTTATGGGGCAAAATGTTTTACCTTCTATTGTATGGAAAAATACCAAGAGGTCCGAACATTTGACACTTGTTCCAAAACCTCACCTAAGTACATCCTTAAGAAAGAAATTTTGACTCGTAATGCATCCACATTGGATGTAAGCAATTTGCCAATTTCTGCTTACATTTGATATAAGTTTATCTTCATTTCAGAGTTGCATCGACCTATATTTGGTACTTCATTGGCAGCACAAAATGTTGGAACTAAAAGTTCATTCAGTGCATCTCCAACAACTTCACCACTGTTAGACAGTCTCCTATCTGCTTCAACATTACCTGACAAACCATTAGCTTATCCTGGTTCTATGGTTACTTCTGTTGCTACTGGTTCTTCAGTGCCAAAAGGAACCTTTAGTTTTAGACAACAACCTTTTACAACAGGTACTCAGTCTCCATTCAGTTTTGGACAAGGGTCATCGACTACTCCAGGAGGTGGTCAGAATTTGTTTACCTCAACACAGAAGGCGTTAACAACCACTGGTTCTGCTGGGTTCATATTTCCATCCCATCAAAAAGAAAATACTTTTGCTGGTAAATCATCAAAGGAGACAAGTCCTGTAAAATCTACACCAAAAGATTGTACAGATGAATATGAACCTAAAGTTGATTTCAAACCAGTCATAGATTTGCCTGATCTTGTTGAAACAAAAACAGGAGAAGAGGAAGAAGAGGTTCTTTTCTATGAACGGGCAACATTATTTAGATTTGACGATGGACAGTGGAAGGAAAGAGGAACTGGTGATTTGAAACTCTCACGTCATGAACAAACACAACGTGTTCGATTATTAATGAGACGAGATCAAGTTTTGAAAGTTTGTGCCAATCATTCCCTTACTAAAGAAATGAAACTTTTCCCAATGCATTCTTCTAAAAAGGCATGGTGTTGGAATGCTCAGGACTTCTCTGAGGGAGAAATTCAAGTAGAACAATTAGCAGTTCGTTTCAAAGATGAGGACCTTGCTTTGAAATTCAAGACAACTTTTAAAAAACTGCAGTCTGAAGTTGATCAAGTAAAATCAAATCAAGCGCAAAAGAGCCAGCTAAAACAGTGACCACAAATAAACCATTACTTGGTTCAATGTTCAAGAAAGAGGAGGGATCATGGTCGTGTCCCGCATGCTTGGTATCAAATAAATCAGATGTTCAGAAATGTGCTGCTTGTCAAACACTGAAGCCAGGTCTGAAACCAGAGGATGTTAAACAGACAGATTCAAAATCTTCCAACATATTGATTCCACATCAGGTAAGTAATTATGCGGTTTCGTACTGTTAAGTTATAATATAGCTTCACTCAAAGAGAAAGGAATTTAGGTGTCAGATATGCAGGCTATAACACTTTTAATATCTGATGTTTTTCTTGGTTAATTGTTATGTAGTTAAGTCGGAATCTAAATTTTAGAAAGCCAGAAAAATATTCATGTTCATAGGATCAGAGTTGCAAACCTAGGTGGTCTTGGCAATACTACCAGAAATGGGTAATGCTGGGCAGTACCGGCAATATGATCTTATAAGCTTATTTTTTACACAGAATAGTGAAGACATGTATAGTTTCATAGTATTATAACCAAATATATGCATGTTATACAGATAAACATTGAGAGTCATTTTCAGATGATCAAAGATTCAATAGCTTCCTTTTCTGTCTATAATACAGGCAAATTACAATTAAAAATTTCACATTTGTGTTACCTTGGTACTTGTTCAATTCCTAGCTTTGTTTAAATAATCCAAACTTTGAAAAAAAAAAATTTAAGTGCAGTGTTTAAGTGTATTGAATTTGTTATACATTCATTTTGCTTAATAAATACACTAAGGGGGTATTTCATGGACACTTGTATATTTGAAAATACTGATTATAGTAATATAAATAAATCTGTGTTATAATCTTAACAATTAGTGATGTAACTAATAAGTATGATAAAGCTTTGTTAACATTTTTTTAGCAGCAATCGCTGAAAATTCATTTTCCTTACATCATGTACATATGATTAATTGTTTTTACAATATTAGTTACATACAGTATTGTTAAAATAATTGACACCGAAGAAGGCTATTTGTTAAGCCGAAATATTTGTCAACACGATTTATTAACAACATCTTCGTATAATACCATCTTATGTTAGTATCGTTGTGCAAATCTCTAGACTTATATATATATATATGTATATTTGTTTAAAAACTTTAATTCTTGGCTTCATGTTAATAGTTGACCTATTTAGACAGAATGGAAATTTAATGAATTTTAAGGGAGATTATATATAAATCTTATCGAGAAAGCTCTTCACATTTATCTCTGAGTCATAATGTGTGTCTTAGAGTTGTTGGACCAATACTTTCTCAGATTTATACACTTTATAATATGAGTCATACAAGTGAACTTCTAAATTAAACTACAATGTTCCATATTAATATCGTTTATGTATTGCATAATTTATTAATTGCATTTGTATTTAATCAGTGGATCCTTGAAAAATTTCAGGCCTGTATTTCATATTACCAAGTGTTGCCCAATATTACCGGTAAAACCTAAATAAAACCTGGGTTTTCCCAGTATTCCCCACTGGGCTTTGCAATGATCATCAAACCTGGTTATGATTTGGGGGGTTTACAGTAGGAAAACACAGATTTGACATATTTACAAAAAAGTGAGCAAGGGTTTGAACTTGTGAAATGTGCTAATTTATTTTGGTATGTTGAATTCACTATAAAAAAGAAAGATCACCAAACTGAAATGCTGTGAAACTTATCACTGAGTGAAAGTTTACTCATTAATTCATGTCAAATTTGATTTATATATTTTGGCACCATTGTCCAATATCAAATGTGAGAGTCTTATATACTGTCTAAACACAGAGACATAAATCTAGCAAAGGACATATAATTACACGCAAATATCTCTGTAACGTGTAAGATTATTATTCTGATCAGTAACATCAACTCAAGCTGTAAAAAGTTAAAACATTGTTCAAAATGTTTTACACCTTGATGGCGCACCCTTCCACTCATGCCATATTTTCTCTCCGTTTTCGGCTCCAAAATTATTTGGTACCTTTTAGCATCATCAGGAAGCTTGTAAGGGGTCATCAGGCCTCCTAAACGTTCTCAACAAACTGTGAATATAGTCCTTCTAAAGCAGGAGTACAATCATGCATATGGACATTATCTCCCTATTATTCAGCTTCTATATTTAGTAATGATTGATATTTGGTCTCGGCATTATTAAGTTGTGTTGTACTGTTTAAGGGGTTTTCAGAAGTGCTAGACAGTCACTTCCTGTTTAACCATACTTAAAATTTTTATCATACCCACTGAGCATGAAATGTTTGTCAATGTCTACTTAGGGGACGACCTTTTGATATTCTGGGGAGGGGGGCAAGGAGGATTTGTTTTAGATCGATTATTTATTTTTGTGGACTAAAAGGAAAGATTTTTTTATTTTCTGCACTGTTGAAGCATGATTTTTCATTTTCATTAAAACAAGGGACGGATAATTTATTTACACATTTATACTTATAATATTTGAAAACACACAATTTCTAAATTCATTTTTTATACGACTGCACAAACTTTTTGCGGTCGTATATTGGTATGATGTTGTCGTCGTCGTCGTCGTCGTCCGAAGACACATTGGTTTTCGCACTCTAACTTTAGTTTAAGTGAATGGATCTCTATGAAACTTTTGTCGCAGAAAGCTCGACATAGGGATAGTGATCCGGCGGCGGCGGCTACGGCGGCGGCCGCGGCGGCGTTAGCTTACTTCTTAAAATCTTTTTATTTTAGAAGGTGGAAGATCTGGATGCTTCATACTTTGTATATGGATGCGTCATGTTATGAAGTTTTCGTCAGTCACATGTCCAATGTCCTTGACCTCATTTTCATAGTTCAGTGACTACTTGGAAAAAAAGTTAAATTTTTTTGTAATGTTAAATTGTCTCATATTATAAGTAATAGGATAACTATATTTGGTATGTACGTACCTTGCAAGGTCCTCATGCCCGTCAGACAGTTTTTACTTGACCCCGACCTCATTTCATGGATCAGTGAACAAGGTTAAGTTTTGGTGGTCAAGTCCATATCTCAGATACTATAAGCAATAAGTCTAGTATATTCGGTGTATGGAATGATTGTAAGGTGTACATGTCTAGCTGGCAGGTGTCATCTGACCTTGACCTCATTTTCATGGTTCAGTGGTTATAGTTAAGTTTTTGTGTTTTGGTCTCTTTTTCTTATACTGTATGCAATAGGTCTACTATATTTAGTGTATGGAATGATTGTAAGGTGTACATGTCCAACTGGCAGGTGTCATCTGACCTTGACCTCATTTTCATGGTTCAGTGGTTATAGTTAAGTTTTTGTGTTTTGGTCTGTTTTTCTTATACTATATGCAATAGTTCAACTATATTTGGTGTATGGAAATATTTTATGATCTATATGTCAGTCACGCAGGTTTTATTTGACCTTGACCTCATTTTCAAGGTTCATTGCTCAGTGTTTAGTTTTGTGTTTTGGTCTGTTTTTCTTAAACTATAAGCAATAGGTCAACTATATTTGTTGTATGGAAGAATTGTTAGCTGTACATGCCTGCCTAGCATGGTTCATCTGACCATGACCTCATTTTCATGGTTCATTGGTCAATGTTTAGTTTATTTGGTTAATGTTAAGTTTATGTGACAGTTGTAATAAAGCTTTATATTTAGGACTATCAACATAATATCAATGATTAGTAAAGAAGGCGAGACATTTCAGCGTGTGCACTCTTGTTGTAACTTCCAGACATAACTTGTGTGTTAGTGTATGGATCTCTCTGACATTGTACCACAAGGTTCCATATCACATTGGGAATGCTGGGATTGATTTTGGGGGTAATTGCCTCACTTTTAGGAATAAGGGGCAAAACAAGTGGCAAAAAACAAGCATTTTTCTAGTTTCTTGACAATAACTTGTGTGCAAGTGTATGGATCTTTCTGAAATTGTACTAGAAGGTTCCATATCACAAAGGGAAAGCTGGAATTAAGTTTGGGGGTTATTGCCTAAAACGTTTATGAATAAGGGGCCAAAAAGGGGCCAAAAATAAGCATTTTTCTAGTTTCCAGACAATAACTTGTGTTCAAGTGTATGGATCTCTCTGAAATTGTACTGCAAGGTACCATTCCACAAAGGGAAGGCTGGGATGGATTTTGGGGGTAATTGCCTCAAAATTTTAGAAATTAGAGGCCAAAAAGGGACAAAAAAACAGCATTTTTCTAGTTTCAGGACAATTACTTGTGTGTAAGTATATGGATCTTTATGAAATTGTACTACAAGGTTCCATATCACAAAGGGAAAGCTGGGTTTGAGTTTTGGGGTAATTGTCCTAAACGTTTAAGAATTTGGGGCCAAAAAGAGGAAAAAAATAAGCATTTTTATACGCCCGTTTACAGACAATAACTTGTGTTCAAGGGTATGGATCTCTCTGAAATTGTACTGCAAGATACCATACCCCAAAGGGAAGGCTGGGATTTAGTTTGGGGGTGATGAATCATAAGGGGGTTCAAAAAATTGGGGGGGGGATTTATTTTTCCTTTTTTTTTCTTTTTTTTTCTTTTAAAATTTTCCATTTTAAATTGGTTATTTCTGATATATTTATAAAAGCAAATAATAATGATATGGTTTCAATATGTAAATTAAGAATTTATAAGTTCTTAGACCACATTGATTCTGTGTCAGAAACCTATGCTGTGTGTCAAATATATAATCACAATCCAAATTCAGTGATGTATCAAGCTTGAATGTTGTGTCCATACTTGCCCCAACTGTTCAGGGTTCGACCTCTACTGTCGTATCAAGCTGCGCCCAGCGGAGCATTTTATTTATTCTTAAATAATAATATTCATGTATAGTCAAGTCATTATGTACCATTTAATCATAATTAATCATCATCCTCTGGAAGTGAATCTTTTGAATTCCCAACCGCATATATTGCATACATACAAGGTATTAAAGTTGGGCTGTAACTAGCCTCTTTTAAAAGTAATGCCAAACAGAAATTTTCGGTAAAGGGTTTGTGGGCCACTGAAGGCCCCAAGAAGCTATAGAAAAAATTCGTAAGGGTTCCGCGGAACCCAGTGTCTCGCCTACTTTTTCTGTTAATCGCAGGCTCAATAAAAATGAGGAAGTAAATCAATAAAAATATTCCTCTTGATACTATCTTTTGATTGTAAGAAGCTTCTGTCCAAGTTTGGTAAAAATCAAGGATAGTTTATGAATCTAATAAATGTTTAAAAACTTTAAATGCAGACTGAATGTAATGTTAACTGGAGGAAAACAAAATTTCCTTCTAGATACTAGCATTTGATCATAAACAAGCTTCTGTCCAAGATTGGTACAAATCCAAAATAGTATAAGAAAGTTATTTAAATTTTAAAAACTTTAACTACAGAGTGAATGTGTTGTTTCCTGGCAGAAAATCTAAGTCCATTTAAAAGTAAAATAAGGAAAAAAGGGATTTATTTTTTTACAAAATTTACTTCTGGATACTATCTTAATTATGACCATAATCAAGCTTCTGTCCAAGTTTGGTACAAATCCAGGATAGTTTTTAGAAAGTTGTTAAAATTTTAAAAACGTTAACCACAGAGTTAATGTTAACTGGCAGAAAAACTAAGTCCATTTATAAGTAAAATACGGAAAAAATGGATTTTTTTTTTTACAAAATTTACTTCTGGATACTATCTTATGATCATAAACAAGCTTCTTTCAAAGTTTGGTAGAAATCCAGGATAGTTTAAGAAAGTAATTAAAATTTCAAAAACTGTAACCACAGAGTGAATGTAATGTTTAACTGGCAGAAAAAACTAAGTCCATTTATAAGTAAAATACGGAAAAAATGGATTTTTTTTTTACAAAATTTACTTTTGAATATTATCTTATGATCATAAACAAGCTTATGTCCAAATTTGGTAGAAATCCAGGATAGTTTAAGAAAGTTAATAAAATTTCAAAAACTTTAACCACAGAGTGAATATTTGTGGACGCCGCCGACGACGACGACGACGACGCCGACGGAATGTAGGATCGCCATGTCTCGCTTTTTCGACAAAAGTCGAAGGCTCGACAATTAAAGGGTCTCGAAAATGCGCAGGATGCACGATTTTGCATCATTTTTGTCGAGCCTTCGACTTTAGTATCTAGAAGGAAATTTTGTTAAAATTTTGTTCTATTTTTTCCGTATTTTACTTATAAATGGACTTTTCTTCCAGTTAACATTACATACAGTCTGCAGTTTAAGTTTTTAAAACATTTATTAGATTCATAAACTATCCTGGATTTTTACCAAACTTGGACAGAAGCTACTTACAATCAAAATATAGTATAGAGAGGAATATTTTTATTAATTTTTTTCCTCATATGTTGAGCCTGCGATTAACAACAAAAGTAGGCGAGATACTGGGTTCCGCGGAACCCTTACACATTTTTCTTAATTTGAAACGCAAGTTCTGTTTTAATTATTTTTTCTACAATATTTTGGTCTCAAAGCAAAATATATAGATTCAGTGTAATACTTTTAGTTTTAGGGACAACATCAAAAGACCAATATGTAGGATAAAGCAAAAAAGTAATTCACATGGTTAAGTATGTGGCTGCTGGTTTTTGGTGGAAGGAGACTTCAAGTCTTCTGAAAGTCTTTACTGCCGGCTGTAAAATCATTGAACCGTCACCAGGACGTATGCCTTATCCCTTTCTGTGCTTTACAATTTCATAACAACTTCCGTGTCATATCTTGACACCGATGTTTACACATAATCTAATCTGCATCATTTAATTTATTAGTTAGGCTTGAAAAACGATCACTATCGTTAGTGTTATAATTTCTCATGTTTTAATGTATTAATATCAACCCTTTTATTTATGTAAATTATTAGACTTCATCTCATCTTACATGAACGTTATTTACTTACTTGTAACCGGATGTCTGTAAAGTAAAGTTTGTAGTACGCATGCGTGAATTTGGTATGGGGTCGGTTCGCCCTTGCTCCGTTCGCCCTGAGTTCATCCCCATAGAGTACATTCACCCTGGGTTCCTTCTCCTTACTTTTATCGTGGAAGTATTATATTGACTGCTTTTATCAAGGACGTTTTATACGTCCATGCAATTATCAAAAATAATAATATTATGGGTATTAAAGTTTAATAAACTTATTCCGATATTTATATGGTATAAATTCTCGAAATTCAGAACCACGTTGATAACGTATCTGCGCATGTGCACAAATGGGAAATTAAATTGTGCATCTGAAAGTTTCAAAATAATGATAAACAGAATGTCATATATTCATAAAATCCATCTTGAGTTAGTCAAGTTTATACGTGGAGAGTACGACTTCAAATCAATGATTCTAGTAAAAATACACGGATTTAGTTTTCCGTCTGTGTTCAGATCTTTAATGCAATCAATTAAGTCATATTCCAGTTTTAATCAACATGTGTTTTTTTAAAACGAAAGTTAGAATATTTAAGTATGTTATTGCGATAATAAAGAGTCAAGCGCACACGTGAATCTGCTGGTGTTTTACACATCAAACGATGCACCGTCTGTTGACAGAAATATCAATGTACAAACTAATGTCTGTTAACGGATTCCATTTCGAAAGTACGTAGTTTTCATGTCGGTCATTGTCGGAATGTCCCCAATGATTGCCTTTATTGCCTTAATACGTTTCAAAGTTTTAGAAGTGATAAAAAACGGGATTTAACAACAGAATAGTCCAGCTCGTTACCGTTATTCGTCATTTCGTTATACTACATACATGTAGTATAACAAAATCCGAGTTCCATATTTTAATTAGATTGCGTTATTCGTCATTAAGGTACACACATTATCGAGGCTCGAGTACGGAACCAGTAATTCGTTGCTGTCAATAGTTTATTTTCATGAAAAATTTCAGAAAAGGGCTGTGTGACTCCTGACGGAAAATGCCATTCCTTCCCTCAGACTTTTGTGTAAAAATATTAGACGAAAAACAAATATCATATATATATATGGGTCAAGCACTTTAAATGAACGGGTTTGAAATGCTAAAAGAGTCAAGCGCACATTTGATTCTGTCAACTGACAGTGCATCGTTTGATGTGTAAAACACTAACAGATTCACGTGTGCGCTTGACTCTAAATTATCGTTATAACATAGCAAAGTCATCACCTGAAATGACCAGTCAATCCTTGGCCTGACACATATCTGCATTGGATATTTTTTAGAATTTTTCAATATATGTTTATAATGAAAAACCCTAGTTTAAGCAAAGTTGACTAAAATCTTGGTGGCCAGTTTTTTTAAAGTTAACTATCTGCCTTCGACAGAAGACTTTCAAGTGAAACCAAATCAATTACTGTTATAATTGCATTGCATCAAGTTGACCATGCTGAGACGAACGTATGGAATTTAGTTATAGAAAATTTAATTTAAATCAACAGTATTTGCTGATTTTTATGTTAAGTGTAGTGAGTTTTGGTTGAGTTATGAGTATTATTATTTTTGGAAGAAAAAAATACGTCGAAAGCAATAATGGGACAACGCAGGCTGGGTTGGTAGGGGCTGCTTTTATTGTAATTAGGGCCCCGCCGAATGGCGGATGCCCTATAGTGATCAGTCAGTCCGTCCTTAAGAAATTGTGTCCGCTTTATATCTAGAGAACCTTTATGATTTCAAAGTTTATACTTTACATGTATATTAACCAACAATAGAGGGTGTGTCATAATATATGTTCAACTTCCTAGGTCAAAGGTCAAGGTCAAAAACTTTGGTTTTAGTTGACAACCCCATGGCCTATGGGAAAGATCGTGTCCGCTCTATATCTTGAGAACCGTTATGATTTCAAAGTTTATACTTAGCTCGTATATAAACCAACACCAGAGGGTGTGTCATAATTATGTTCAACTTCCTCGGTCAAAGGTCAAGGTCAAAAACTTTGGTTTTAGTTTACAACCCTATGTTCTATGGTAAAGATCGTGTCCGCTCTATATCTTGAGAACCGTTATGATTTCAAAGTTTATACTTGATATGTATATAAACCAACACCAGAGGGTATGTCATAATTTATGTACAACTTCTTATGTCAAAGGTCAAGGTCAAAAACTTTGGTTTCAGTTGACAACTCCATGTCCAATGATAAAGATACAAATTTTTTACCACACATTATTCACAGCAGGGCCCACAGAGATGGCTCCCATCTCAATTATATCTAGTTCAAGTTACCTTTTATGCATCTTCTTCCACTTCAGAGCAATTAGCTCTTTGATTTTGTTTTTTTTTTTTGGGGGGGGGGGGGTTCGGCTTGCAGAAAATCTTTTATACCTGTCATTTATGTGGGTTTTTTAAATTAAGTTAAGTTATCATTGATATAACTATGTCAAGTAAGTTTTTATAACACATTTCAATTACAACTTGATGTAGTTCCTAACTGGGATACAATTTAAAGTAGTTTGTAAAATTAGATAAAAAGTCCTTAAAACAAAATTACTAAATTGCAAATGGAACGCAACACTAAGAGAATAATGAAGGGCAATCAATGAACAAAAGGCAAACCCGGGAACAGATTAAGCACAAAACGACAAACAATAGACAAATAACACTGAAAACTAAAAATAAATGAGAAACATGGATCCCGAAAAACGGGGGCTACGTCAGAGGGTGAACAGAACTTGCTTCTTGCAAGGCACTCGCCGTAAAAACAATTTGATATGAAGACAAGATTTTTGAAATTTCCTACATGAGGCATTTGCCTCAATGTAGTTACGGCCTTGGAATAAAAGTGAGGTAAATGTTCTTGAGGCAATATACCTCAAGTCAAATGAAACCCATTTTCAGACATTTCAAGTATATTAATATTTATACATTGTATTATTAAAAGATTTGGGAAGTTTTTTCCGAAAAAAATATGAAAAAAGATGAACTTTGGAAGAATTTGGTGCCATATCATACTTAAGAAAAGCATTTATAAAAGGGCTCAAAAGACCTGGCGAGTTATTCATTTTCAATACATTATAAGTCAGGTTATTTATTTTCAAACTACCACAGAGCAAATTATTCATTTTTGTTATTATCAAGGCTGAGTTATTTATTTTCAAAATCCTTAAGCCCCCCCTCCCTCCCCCTCCCCCAGAATATCAAAAGGTCGTTCCCTTACGATGGGGTGACAGTTTTTTTAACACTTTGTTTCATATTCATTTAAGTTATAATGTTAATGTTTTCTTTTTCAGGAGGTGTCCAGTTTGGAAATACAACATCGGATCAAAAATCTGCTGCAGGCGTTTCCTTTCAATCAGAGGCAAAACCAACATCTGCTGCAGACATCAAATTTGGTCAGACAACAAAAGCAGCTGATAGTACTAATCCTGCTGCAGGAAGTGGATTCAATTTTGATGGACCTACTGTTTCTACAGTAAAAACAACAACAGCTGAAGCAGATACTGACAAACCTCCACTCAGTGGTTGTTTTGAATTGGGAAAATTACTGGAGTCTGACAAAAATAAAGCAACACCAGGAGCAGTAAGTTTTAGACAGACCGTTTCTTCCACTTCCGACAAGAAAACTGAACCTTCAAAGCCAGATCTATTTACAACTGAACCAAGAAAGTCTACTTTAGGTGTTCTCACGTTCCCAAAACATCTAAACCTGGTTTCAGTTTTGGTGGAGAAACTAAGTCTAACAATTCAATATTTACCTTTAAACCCAGTGCTCCAATTGCTACGGCCTCACCCAGCCCAGCTGTTATAGAAACAAACAACAAACCAGTATCATTTAAGCCTAACACGACATTTGTTTCTTCAACAAGTATCTCTAAACCTGAGCCTGCTAAAAAAGATGAAAAGAAAGGATTTGGGAATCAGTTTAAACCAAAAGCAGGAAGTTGGAACTGTTACGGCTGTCTTGTTTCAAATAATACTAATGTACTCAAATGTCCTGCCTGTGGTACCCTGAAGCAAGGAGTTAAAAGGAAAGACCTACCAAAAGAAACAAAAGAGTTCTCAGCATTTGGAAGCAGCACTGGTGGATTTAACTTTGGTGGAAAAGGAGTTACTAAAGAGGAGGCTAAAGAATCAGGTCAACATGAAAAGAAGGAGGGAAAGAAAGGATTTGGTGATTTGTTTAAACCTAAAGAGGGTGCCTGGAAATGTGATGGCTGCCTTGTTTCAAATAATGGTGATGTTCTCAAATGTCCTGCATGTGGTACGTTGAAGCCAGGAGTTAAAAAGGAAGACCTACCAAAAGAAATGGAAAAGTCTTCCGCTTTTGGAAGTACCGCTGGTGGATTTAATTTTGGTGGAAAAGGAGTATTCACTTTTGGAACAGCTGGCATATCTAATACTAATGCAGGCTCTGGATTCACATTCCCTACACCTGATTCCACAAAGGACAAATCTGAATCAAAACCAGCCTTCGCTAGTTATACTTTCACAACAACAAAATCAGATGCAGAGAAAAATAAACCAGATGCTGCAGCCAAAGGTTTCAACTTTACATTACCATCTGCTACACCAGGAAAGAGTAGGGGTAGATTCAGTTTTACATTGTCACCATCAAAAGACGCAGGTCCAAAGTCTCCACCCACCGATGCTGATGGTACGTATATAAATAAAGACGGAGATGATGGTCACATTCATTTTGAACCGATTATTGAACTGCCGAGTGCTGTTGATGTTGTCACTGGAGAAGAAGACGAAGAAGTATTATTTCAACATCGTACTAAACTGTTTAGATTTGTTGATGGTGAATGGAAAGAACGCGGACTGGGTGACATCAAAATCTCCAAACATAAAGAAAGTGGAAAAGTTAGACTTCTGATGCGTCGAGCGCAAACTCATAAAATCTGTTTGAAGCATTATTTAACGCAGGAATTAGAGTTAAAACCTATGCCAAAAACTGATGGAAAAGCATGGATTTGGTTTGCTATGGATTTCTGTGACGACGAACCTACAATGCAACAATTAGCTGTAAAGTTCAAAAATCAAGAAATAGCAACCGGCTTCAAAAAGGCATTTGACGATGCCAAAGTACAACTTGAATCCTCTGTCACTACCCAGAAATCACCAGTAAGCAGTGTTGGGGATTCTGATGATAGAAATGATGGTATTGAATTTGTAAGAGAAGAGCAAGCTACAAAGGAGCAAATAACAATGGCAAGAAAGTTTGTGTTACCTGACCACTTCTATTTATATGAGAAGAAACCATCCTGTCCAGGGTGTATTGGTTGCGAGGATTACGAACCGGGGAAAAAATCACCTGCCAAATCTAAAATTTTAGTTAAATAGTAGAATATTAAATAGTATGTTGCCAATTAGACCTAAGAGATATGGAATTTAATCGAAATTTGTTTGTATCTTGCATTAAACACTTTCATAGATTAACATTGAGATATTTTGTCTGATATGTAAAAAGGGCTGATTGAATGTCTGTACAATATAATATCTTTAGAAAAGTTTCACGGCAGATAAATAATAAATCACTTCAAAGTTTGAATTATCATGCCATTAATAGCTCTTTTTTCAAATACTAGTAAATATAGATTTAAAAATGATCGTAAGTTAGAACTTTAAAAGAGTTTATGACACAATACAATTATTTATCCTCTTAAGATTTTTTTGCAGCTTTTGATAAATTGCGCACGAGACAAAATATCACAAGAGACCGAGAAGTATTATGTAACTATATTTTTTGCTCACCTGGCTCAAGGACCAGAGGAGCTTATTTCATCACTTGCCGTCCTTCGTCCATCGTCGTCGTTAACTTTTACAAAAAAACTCCTCAATTGAAACTGCTGGGCCAAATTTAACCAAACTCGGTCACATTCATCATAAGGGTATCTAGTTTTACAAATGTGTCCGATGTCCCCGCCTGCAAATCAACATAGTCAACATGGCTAAAAATAGAACATTGGAGTAAAATGCAAGAATTGTCTTTGATCTTGAAACCGTTACAAATAGAGAAAATCTGACGGGGTAGAAGTGTTCAAAATATTAGATCTATTTATTGACTATATAAAACTTTCAGACGACTTATTACAGGAGTTATTGCTTTTAAATGACAATTTTTTTTTTTTTTTCCCTATTATCTTAAAATGAGAATTGTAATAGATAGAGAGAAACTTAAATGATAAAATGATTAGCAAGACAAGATTTACAAATAAGTCAACATATTTGAATTCGCCAGACGACTCATTATTGCTCTGTATTGACGAGTTTTATCAATTTTTGCGTGTTTGCTTAATATCTTAAATACTATAAATTAAATACTAGTAGATAGAGAGAAACTTTAAATAGCAAACGTGGTTGAAATCGTCTTATTGGAGTTATCGGCCTTTAATGACGATTTTTGGATTTACTATTATCTGACAAACTATAATAAATAGGTAGAAATAAGCAAAAATGAAAAGATCTACAAATATGTCAAATGGCAGAAATTGTAAGTTTACTCCTTATTGGAGTTATTGTTCTTTAATAACGATTTTTACTCATGCTTAGTATTCTGCATATTGTCTTTTTTAAAAAACTATGAAAGATAGATAGACACTTTACATAGCAATATTCAGCAAGACAAGCTATACAAATAAGTAAAAGTTTGCTGACATTGTTAGTGGACTCTTTATAGGAGTTTCTGCCCGCGAATGACAATTGTTATAACCCTTTTTGTGTGTTTTGGGCAAAAAATTAAGAAGATAGATATAAACTGTCAACCGAAAAAAAAATAATCAGCAGTACAAGATCAATGAAAAATAGATGTTTGTCTTGAATTCTATTGTAATCCACAATGTTGGAAAATGTCTATTGTTGACGATGGAAATAGACTGAGGTAAGCAACACAGGCTCGTTAGTACCTCTTGTTTTTATTATTTGCATATTTTGAACATCACCATGATCACTAAAGGAAAAAAGTATGTCAAGAAGTGACAAAACTGTCTATAAGGTTCCATGAAATTTAGTTATTATACCATAAGTTACAGAGTTAGTGGTAATTTGCATTTGTTTGGTCCATCTATTCGAAACTGTTGCATTTTACTCAACTTTTGTAATATGGAATAATTTGATATCTGGTCTGCATAATGATAAGTTGTACCATGAAAGCAATTTTAAAATCTGCTTTGGCAGTTTCTTCAAGTTTGACAATACTTCTAATTTTTTTCACTAGCCTCCACTCTAGGAATGGGGAGGGGGCTATATTATTGATACCTTGTCTGACTGTACACTGTACAACCTTCAACAATGATCATCGTATCAGTCAGTAGCTTGACAGTAATGAGTTGTAATGTGTGAGCTTCTCAGATCTGTCAGACATCCTTTCTATTTCCAGATACTTTGAATTACAAGTGGGGTAATGGTTAGCAAGATAAATTGTCCAACTTATTGTTATATACCTTTTCAGCAATATTATTTCATTGCATATTTATAAGCTTCTGTATGAAGTAATGATTCAGTATTTGGCTTGACCTTAATTGTAATGAGTTTTACTGTGTAAGCTATTTTCAGATTTGCACTCACTTCATGTTTTACCATACTTTGAACATTTATGATGCATTCTGAGCAAGGAATTTTCCGTTTCATTGTTCTCACCTTCTGTATGAAACAATTTTCAGATCCGTCGTCGGTCATGTCCTGTTTGAAGATACTTTGATATTTTTGTACTCTCCGAGCATGGAATTTTCTGCCAATATGTAATAACGATTGAGGTGAACTAAGTATACTATTCGATGTATTTCAATAAGGAAAGATCCCAGTTTTACATATGCGCGACGATTTATATTCGCATTATTTTATTACCCGCGAATGTCGCAAAAATGAGTTGGTTTACAGTACTTAAATTTGCATGCAAAGGAGTTCTGCTCCTTGCTATCATTAGCATTTGACATGTTTGATGAGAAAATGTGTAAAAGTATCTGTCAAATACAAAATTAGGAAGTTTACATAAATTCCTTTGCAAATGATGTCATCATTACGTCATAATTGCACACAATGATGAATATAATCATCATTTTGGCTAACTTTTAGTCCCTCAGATATTAAAGTAATATGCTATCAATAGTTCTACATATAGTTTGTATTATTGTTTGATTGATTGCTGTTTGCTGTTTGCTTAACGTCCAGTGGAAGTTTGAAATAAGATTACCATTAGTTCCTCATATAATTGTTCAGATGTATGTTTACACATGTTTGGCTGCTGGATCCCAATTATTGTCATATTAACCTATTACCGGTATGTCTGTCAAGGTTGCTCACCGAATTTTGTCAATATAACGGAACTGTTAACTACATAAAAGTAGAAGGTTTAGCTAGCTATAAAACCCACCATTTTCTTGGGAAAATCCTGTACCTCGTCAGGAATATGGCAGTTGTTTTTCACTTGTTCCGTTGATTGATAACATTTGATTTTGTCAGTTTTTAGGGACTTCCACTTTTTGAAATAGCCGCCTTGGAGTTATGTATTTTTTATTATACTTTGATAGTATAAGATAGAATACTTTCATCAAAAAATGTATGTAAGTTTAGGGTTTCCTGCTTGATCCTAATTTTGAGCTCTAACTCTATCATTTTTATGAGAATTTTTCATCATCAACTTTCATCAACATCCCAATTGTTATGACCACTTACACATTCTATTAAAATGGGTTTGCTTTAAACGAAGATAGACAGTGTCAGTTAATGTATTTACTGTTTACAAATGATGAGAAGCAATGCACTATAAATCAGATATTGTGTGTGCATTTATTATCGTGATTTTTGAATAATCGACAAAAGTGTGAGATTTATTAATACAATTTCAGGAAATGCTGCATACAAATAGTGTTTTTAGAAAATACAACTTTTTATGGGAAACCTATGATCACCTATCCTATTAAAGTTTATACAATGATAAAAACATAGCAAAACTTTCTGCATTATCAGTATATTATTGTCTTGTTGGGAAGACCGCGGAAGTAACGAGGTTGCGTTCTACCTATTTATCTAGGGTTGAATTCAGTGCGGGAAGCAGCATTAGCACTAAGAATATATATGAAGTAAACGTTACACAGTATGGTTGTGTTCTGCTTTATATTTACGATAGTTGATTTAGCCCGACATTTATGGTGCAACATAAGAGTCAAAAGCAAGTTTTGTCTTTTATCTTAAAAACCCGCTATAAATAGAGGAAATCAGAATGTTGGGATCAACCTACTGTATATTTTCACCAAAACTGTCAGACGACATCTTATTGGAGTTATTGCCATTTAATGACGATTTTTACTTTTTTTTGTTTGCGTTTTTGTCTAATATCTTAAAAAAAACTATAAGAGATAGAAACTTAAAAAGCAACAATAATCAGCAAGACAATATCTTCAAATAAGTCAAATGACCAAAATCGTGAAGCGACTCTATATTGGAGTTTTTTTTATCTTTAATGACTAGTGTTTTGGCCGAAATCGTCAGTCGACTCTTCATTGGAGGTCTTGCTCTTTCTTTAATGACTATCTTTACTAATTTGTGGTGTTTTTCACTTGTTCCTTTTATCTTGAAAACTATAATAGATAGATATTTTGCACAACAGTGGTTGCATCTTCATGATTCTATTGTAATACAATGTAAGCAAAGCATTCGGCATTAGTCAGTATTGGGGTTATTCATTATTGTACTTGTATAGATAAGGATGACCTTTGGCATTTTGTTGACTTCTTGTTAATTTCAGAAAGCTTTTTATTAAATGGTCTGCTTTAAAGAATAAAAATATGAAGCTTAACTTTCATGTTTTGTCTGCATGAGGACTAAACCATTTATTTAATACGGCCTATCCACGTTAAATTTTTCACTTCCAAACAGTTTATGGAGCGGGATCAATATACGGTTATTCATACATAAGACCGTACTGGTTACCGGAATTTTGGATACACCAAACCAGGTACTTCATTTCCGAGAAACACGCAATATATATTCCCTCAATTTTATAATTCATTCAAACAGTTTTGTATTATTCAAAATTAATAGTAAATATGTGTTCTACAAGGATCAACAGTCCTTCACCTTTCATCTGATACCTTAATTACTAAAATATATTCTACATAGTTTTATATTTACACTAGCTCTAGAATGCATGGATCAATTTTATCTAAACTGTTGTTTGGATTAGTAGATGAAGACCAGTTTTTTTTTTTTATTTTCTAAAATTGGTATTTACGAGGAGTTAATAGACTTCTAGATGTCTTTATTTGGAGGGGGTTGTATCTTTTTTGGGGCACGGGGTTATTGGTTGCATTCCCATTGACACATTTCCCACATTTGTTAGGTCATATAGCTCTGCAACTGTTTCGTTTCTTATAAATCCTTGGCTTTAAAATAATCGGCTAAGGTAAAGCGCTTCGTACGCATGAAATTTATAACGTGTTGTTTTCATTTTTTACGGCACTTGTTTGATACCTCTGCTGGTGGACTACCAGCCCCGAGGGTATCATTAGCTCAGTAGTCAGTTTTTCGGTACTGACATGATTTATAACAAACATTTCTAAAATTGTCCGTTCTTAAATTTTGAAATTATAAAGAAACTTAGGTTTCAACTCCCTCAGGCACAGTTGACCTGACATGGATTTGGCTATTTTATTTAGGTCCTTTTTGGTCATATAGCTTTTTAACTGTTTCAGTTCTTATGCATCCTTGGCTTTCACATATTCAGCTTTGAGCCTTCCTGAAGAATGTAAATCCAGAAAAGCGCTTCGGACGCATGGTATTTCTTATGTGTTGTTTTCATTTTTTTTCATTCATGTAACTCTTGAACTGAAATAGAATATCAAAGTCTTGAGTTTAGTGACACAGTATGTAGCACAATGCCTATGGTTAAAACTACCATGGGAGAAAAACTCAGCCTCTGTG